TTGCCCCGAGTTGTCACTGAGGAATTTACGCTGGCTGCTCAGAGCTTGAACATCTTTCCCTGTGTGGACTCTGGGAACTTTTCAGCTTACAATTCGCTGGTTGTTCTGTCTTTGTGGGGCTTTACTCTACACATGCAGGTCACATACTCGGCAAAAACTCAAAGGAACTCCACACAGATTTCTAGAGCTCTTTCTCTGCACAGCTCCCTCCTTTCCAGAACCACACTCCACAACTTCCAGCTGCCAGACTTCTCCACCTCCTTGTCTCCTGGAGACCACCAGCCTCTCTGCGAGCTCCCCTCTCTGGAACCGTGGTCCACAAATTGCCTCCATGCATCAAGCCAGGGCAGTTCCAGGACTCACCAGTTAGTTTCCCTTTCCTCATGTGTCCTAGCCCTATGCTGCTTGTTGTCCAATGTCTGCAAAGACTTAATTTATGTGTTTTGCCCAGTTTTCTAGTTGTTTATCACCGAGGGTTAAACCCAGTCCTTTCTACTAAGCCATAATTACGAGTGGAGGTCTGTTTTATATTTTTAACATTCTGAGAATAATACTTTTACATGGGAACACGGGGAATCGATGACAGTAGAGTTTTAAGTTCTCTCTCTCTCTCTTTTTTAAGTTGTGCTGAATAGTAAGGAGAAAAGACAATTAAAGAAGCAGCGTGGTGTCAGGGATGAAACAATGGACGAACTCCAATCATGTCTACACGCTCTCCTGCCCGCTTCAGCTCCCTTCCACCTCTTTTTTTCTGGAGAAATCAGACTCGTGATTCAAGGTGCAGCTCACATGATCCTGACTTGGTACAGGTTTCCTCGCCTCCATGGGCAGAGGTGGTTAGTCTCTTCTTTGCCACCCACCCTCTCCCCACCTTCTTGCCTCCACCTCCACCCAGATTTGTCTCTCCCTTTCTTCCAACACTTGTGACACTTCACCAAGGTGGTGGACTCAGCCTGGGGAGCAGATGAGCTTGTCTGGGGAGAATGTGTAGAAGGAGAACCAAGGCCACAGATGGAGTCTGGAGAACCCAAAGCCTAGAGGAAGACAAAAGAAGAGCAAGAGGAGGTCAAAGTGGCTAGATAAAGGCTCAGATATGTCAAGCAACTTACTCAAGGCCACACAGCACATACACTTCGCATCCCTCTATATGACTTTGTGATGAAATCAAGGCTGATATTAAGCTAGTTTGCACTGGTTTGGCTATCCTTGTTTCTAGCTGGTGTCCACTCTAACTGGTCTGTGTGGCCTCTTCTAACTGGTTAGCAGCCACTCTATACAGGTGGTTAAATATTTAGATCACTCCCTGGGTAGGATGATATTTTGATCCACTTACTGATATGTGCTCTCCCCACCAATATGGGCTGCAAATCCTATTCCCCCTCCCACTATAGTCCCAGGATGAGATGATAGAGCAAAAGGCAAAGAGAAAGAAAGGTGCCAATTCTTGATCTCTGAGTCATTTGGGAACCTCCTCACAGAGCAAGTGCTTTGAGAGAAAAGGGTTTGGGGTTGCAAAAGTGGGGGCATTTGGGATTACAAAGGGCTTTGTGTGAGGAGATTTAGGGTAGAGAGACTGTCTGGTGAGTCAGAGATGGTTTCCCATCCCACCCAAGCCTCTCTAATGAGAGAAGTCCCTCCAGCCTGGAGAGAGAAGCAGTCTGGAGGGGAACAGTTGGAGAGGCAGGGGTGCGCTCCTGAGGAGACTCTGCTTCCTGCCAGGCTGCAGGGCTGTGTTGGGGGTGGGTAAACAGAAACCCCAAGTGGGTTTGGACAACCTGTGAGTGGAGAGGACCTGTGCTCAGGGAAAGGGCAGAACCCGGGGTTCTCTGTGTCCAGCCTGTGGAGCAGAAACAGTCAAGTGGCCTGACACAGCCAGCACAGCAGAGGTCTTCTCATCCCCTAGCCTGGCACTCAGGAGGTGGGCACAGAATTCCCCAACACACGTTTCAGGCACAAAGGAGACAGGGGGTGCCACAAGCCCAATGAGGCTTGGTGGTGGGAGAGTACACAGCAGTGAATGATGACTGAACACACAGGGACCACGGCCAAGAATGTGGATACTAATGTGCACAGAAGTCCGCACAGAGGGCCCTCACCACAGTCCATGCCTTGGCATCATGCAACCCTTGGAATTTAGATGCAATACTGAGGACAGTAGGGGAGACCGTGATTGACTGAGAGCAAGCTCAAGATACTTGGCAAAATGAGGGCTTAAAGTTAAATTGGGAATCTAAACAGGACTAAGGCTACATTTCTTGTACACCTGCATTTGTGGTTTGAGATTTGCGCTCACTATACTCCTATCTCTAACATTCAGATTGTTTTTCTTCTGTGTTGTGCCAACCTCTAGGGTGGCTGCATTATTTGCCACAAAGCACCATGGACACAGCCCTGGCTTCAGAAACAGAGACCCAAATTTGAATCAGGTCTCCATCACAGTAGCTATGTGATTGTGGGTTGTCTGAGTCTCAATTTCCTCACATGTAAACGAAGTTAATGATATATCTTGTTGGGGAAATATAACTAAAACCAAAATCTTCTCCCAGCTCACAAATCTCCACAAAGGTCATAGAAAAAGAAAACACTTTTGGGGGCTGGCCTGGTGGCATACTGATTAAGTTCGCATGCTCTGCTTCAGTGGCCCGGGGTTCAAAGGCCCAGATCCTGGGCACCGACCTACACACCACTCATCAAGCCATGCTGTGGCGGCGTCCCACATAGGAAGATTGGCACAGATGTTAGCTCAGGGCAAAACTTCCTCGGGAAAGAAAACACTTTTATTATGAATGAGCATTAAACTAGAAGGCAATATGTAATACAATCGGCTAAGAGATTGCATAGACAGAAAGGAATCCCACCCCCTTATATAGCCGGGCAGCACACCCCATTACACACGTGTTCTCAAGATAAACGATAAGTAAGAGGACTTGATAGCACCATTTGTCACACAGAGTTCATCCTGACTTTACCTGGTAATCGGGGATTCTCTCTGTGTTAGCTCCTCGGCTTCATCCAGAGGAGTAACAAACTTCTCCTATCTTTATGACCAGAGGTAGTTTTGCAACTGAGAAGGAGGTACCTCTCAGGCTCCTACCCTCCCACAGAAGCTTGGAGACAGGAGTGTCAGCTCCCTTGATGTTTACATTTCAAAAAGAGGGCTCCCCGTCCTTGAGAATAAAGTTCACAAAAGACCTACCTAGTCTTCTGAAGGATTTATATACATTTCAAGAGAGAAGAGAAAGTACTTACAAGTTTTCTAAAGTAAATGCTCAAAGAAAACGGAGAGAAGGGAACTCTCTTATTTTAAACTGGGATAATTAAGGCTTTTATTTTTAATTTGTATTTGTCTTTACAATCTACCTCCTGCCTGATACTCTAAATTCCAAAAATCCACGGCCTGGGGTGGGGGGGGGGGGGGCGCTGGGGTGCTAGGGGAAGGAAAGGAGTTACTAGGCAAAAAAGCTATTTGACAAAATCATTCTAAGTATATGTATTGTAGTAGGTGACTCTCCTGGAAGTAACAGTGCTTCCTCTCTGGCTTCTTATAGATGACTCTCTCATTGTCTTTCCCTGGACTTTTCTGAATCAGTTTTGAATCTTCTTTTTTTGGTGAGGAAGACTGGCCCAGAGCTAACATCTGTTGCCAATCTTCCCCTTTCAGCTTGAGGAAGATTGGCCCTGAGCTAACACATGTGCCAATCTTCCTCTATGTTGCATGTGGATCTCCACCACAGCGTGGCTTGATGAGCAGTGTGTATGTCTGTGCCCAGGATCTGAACAGGAGAACCCTGGGCCCAAAGCTGACCATGCGACCTTAATCACTACGTGCCACAGGGCCAACCCTGAATCTATTTGTTAACTTTCACATTAGCCACATTTGTTACAACATTTTGGAAATTGCTTGACACTGTAAGAGGTGAAGTGTGGTAGATACGCTGAGGACTGAAAGATTAGGAGCTGTTAAAGAAAAAATTATTCAAAGACGCAGTAAGGAAGACTTTATTCAAGGAGGGACTATTTCAATCTGTATAGAAAGCACTGCAGTGGAATCTTGCAGTGGGGGAGGGAGATGGGGTTCAACTCCGAACATGCACAGGCAAGTGGGGATTTACAGCCAAGAGCAGAGTGGGAATTAGTAGATGGAAAATCATTAGGACGAAACGTCAGGGGAGAGGCAGATTCCAGCTAAACTGACCGGGCCAGGGTAATCATACATCACCAGGATGGTGGAGGATGAGGAATCCAATCAGATATGGAGTGTGGGGGGCTCTGGTTAAACTGACTCAGCAGGATTCTAGCTAAAATTGGACAATGCAGGGACAAACATGACAAGTCCAAAAGTCAGGCTCAGCTGACAAAGTTCAGGAGAGCCTGGGTAAGAATTCAATCAACCAGAGAATCTTCGTCAGCTCTTTCCCCCATATTGTGCAGCCCCTCAGTTTTTATTAATCTTAACAATGGCTAATATTTATTGAGCCCTCATTATGTGTCCGGCACAATGCTAAGTGTTTTAGCTATGCTATTAATCCTCCTGACAGCCCTGCCAGGTAGATACAATGATCTCCAATTCAAAAATGAGAAATATGAAGCTCAAAAAGAGAAGTGACTGGTCTAGGATTCCGAATGGACAGAGCAACAGCGGCAGAGTTCGAGCCCACGTTTGTCCTATTTAAATAACCACTGTGCTAAACTCTAAGTAGGACAATGGAAAAGTTAAACATAATCACAAAACTTCACCCTTAATTCCACGGCGCACCCAAGTTAACTGGGGCAGGCCCTCCGCTGTCTTTCCGGAAAGCCCCGCCCCCCGGCCCGTGGCCCAGCGGACGGCCCCAGCGCCGCCAGGCCCGGGAAAGCAGGGGCCCCGCGGGACCCGGCCAGGCCGGGGCCAGCCCCGCCCACCGCTCCGCCGCAGCCAATAGCGCCGGCGCGGCGGGGGTCGTGGCCCTGCCTGGCTGCGCACTCTGATTGGGCGTCTCCGGGCGGGGCGGGGCCCCCGGCGGTGCGCAAGCCGCCGCGCGCCAAGTTCGGGGCTTCAGACTAGCGCGGCGGGTCACGTGGCAGGCGCGCGGCCACGGCAGGTCGGCTGCTTTCGGACTCTGCTCGCGCCGGCAGGAGCGTGTGGCCTCGGTGTCTTCAGGCTGGTGCGCGCCCCGTTCCGGTAGGTAGGCGGCTTCAGGTACCAGGCCCTCGGTGTCTCCGGCGCTCGCGGGGTGCTTTGGGTGCGCGCCTTCCGGCCGAGCTTGCCCCGCGCCTCTGCGAAGCCGGAAGTGTGAGGCGCGCCTGTTAGTGCCTGGGGTGAAGGGTCGGACAGCCGAGCCAGAGCGCCTGGTCCCTGGTCACAGATCGGTGCAGCGCGGGTGGCGGCCTCGGCCTTTGACATGGAGCGAAGGCTTGTTGCTGATACAGGTAGCCGCGCTCTATTGAGTACTTTTCTCGTTGAGCTCTTAAACTTAAGTGCAGCCTTTCACCTCGCGGCAGGATCCTCACAACAGAGCTGCAAGTCCGGCGCTGTCTTGTAGCCCGCTTTACAGAGAGGCTCGGAGAGAAGAGCCGACTTAGGCGCGACCCTGAAGCTAGCAGAATGGCACAGCCGGCAGGCGAAGCGAGGATCTCGGAGCCTGTGCCCTCAACCACTACGTATATGGTCCACCTGCCTTTGGAACGTGCGACCGGGTCCGGGCTGCGCCTGTTGTCTGCAATCTGTCACCTCTTGGTCTAGGAAACAAATGTTGCCCTGCAGGGTTCTTGGCCTGGTGCCCTGTGCTTCAGGTCCTGGAAGTTAAGCGACCCTTGGTCAGCTGAGACCAGCACAAACCTGTGCTTTCCATCGGGCAGTTGCTAGACTGGAAACACCAGCTTAGGTACTTATGGAGTCATATCTTTAATCTGTTACTTGAGAGGGCGTGTAGCAGAGGGGGTAATTGCACTTTTGTTTAGTGCTGTGTCACGAAAAGGGCTTTGGAACTAGAAGTAAACCAGGGTTCAGATGCTGACTTAATAGTCTATCTTAGACCACTCAGCTCTCTGAGCGCCAGTTTCCTCTTCTGTAGAGATCACAATACCTATGATAGACAGATGGCATCCGACAGTGTAGTTCCCTCAGCAGACTCCTGGCTGGTTCCACGTATATGACAATGGCCCAGGGGAGATTTGGAGGCGTAGGGAGGCTGGTCACCTTGATGAGTGACTTCACTTACTAGGTCTGTTTCCCTGGGCTTGAGGTGAGGATCATGCCACACATGAATGACATTTCCCCAGTAGAAATATCTAACCCTGTAGTGACAGTGGCAGCCTCAGTGAGCCGTGTGCCCCTGGGGTGCCCAGCAGGGGTTACTGAGTGGCAATGAAGATGGCCCTAAGATGCCCAGTTTTCTCCCTCAACAATAGTAGCAGGTCCTTTTTGAGTAGTACTGACTCTGTGCCTGGCACTGTTCTGAGTGCTCTCTGTCTGATACCTCACTTGATTCTCACAGCCAGCTTCAGAACCCTCATCATCCCTGTGTTGTATTGAGGGGAACAAGACACAGAGGTGTCAGTCCCTGGGTTGCATGTGAGGAAGTGGAGAGCGGGATTTGAACCCAGCAGTCGGGCTCTGTGGCGAGCCTCAGCACCGTCTGCTCCGGTGTGGCCATCCCTGTTGGGAAGCGGGAGGATCGAGGTGTCCAGCTTGTGAGATGGCCACCTGCTGTTTTACATAAACCTTGATCTTCTCTAGTTGTTAGCTTCAGATTTCACAGATGGATTGAGAAATGGCCCCAAACCAAAGTTTCTAGAAAACAGTTTGAAACTTGTGAAACATGTACTGTCACGGTGACAATCTGTTTTCCCATCTTCCTCTTACCCTTGGGCCTTTGAATCTCTTCCGTGCTGTGCTTTGTTCCCCAGGCTTCAGCTGCACAGGCCTGATTTCTGACCCTTGACAAGGCGAGCTTCTTCCTGTGTTAGGGCCTTTGCACCTGTGTTTGCTCCGCCCGGTGTTTGTTCCCTCTTAGCCCTGATCTCATAAGCTTGGCTCCTTTCCGCTGTTCAGCTCTCAGCTCAGGGGCCTTCCAGGCCCCGTCTAAAGAAGCCCCCCACTCGTTTATTGTCCTGGTAGCAATCACCGCCGCCTGAAGTTATCCTGTGTGCTGCTTTTTTCCTAGCTTATAGTCTGTTTCTCATGAGAGCAGGGCCTGTGTCTCGTTGGCCTTGGCAGTCTTAGTTCCTAGTTGAGTGCCTGGAATATAGGAGTTGCTTAATAGATATTTGCTGAAGAAATGAGTGAATTCCTTGTAGGCTAATAGTAGTGGAGTAGAGCTCTTAAGTATCAAAAGTTTATTTTGAATTAAAGATAGAATTACTATATGATCATATTAAACATGGAATTATTCTGTGACCCAGAGATTCCACTTCTGGGTATATTCCCAAAAGAATTGAAAGCAGGGCCTTGATAATGTACCCCCATGTTCATAGCAGCGTTACTAGCAATAGCCAGAAGGTGGAAGCAAACCAAGTGTCCATCGACAGATGAACAGATAAACAACATGGTGTATGCAGACAATGGAACATTATTCCTCTGAAACGGAAGGAAATTCTGACACATGCTGCAGCAAGGGTGAACTTTGAGGACATTTTGCTAAGTGAAATAAGCCAAACACAAAAATATTGTATGAGTTCACTGACACGAGCTACCTGAAATAGTCAAATTCAAGACCAGAAAGTAGAATAGTTGCCGCCACGGGCTGGGGGAGAAGAGGATGGAGAGTCGTTCAATGGGGACAGGGTTTCAGTTTGGGAAGATGGTAAAGTTCTGCAGATGGATGGTGGTGATGGTTGCACAACTGAATTGTGGATTTAAAAATAGTTACAATGGTAAATTTTATGTAATGTGTATTTTTATCACACTTCAAAAAAATATGAGAGAGAAGTTCAAGGTATATTGTTTTTCAGCCAACCTCCAGACCTTGAGAAAAGATGCTGTGAGTATGTCTTCCCTGAAGATAGGATTAGCTAAACGTGATAATCTTCTCTCTGCATCTTAAAACGTACAGTCTCAGGATCTTTGTCTTTCTCACTGTCATTCTGAATGCCCCAGGATGTAAGATATACTTGATTTAATTGAAACACGACAAAGACTCTTGAGCTCTTTGTTTGAATAAAAAATTCAGACTTTTTCATGGTTAAAAACAGTGTAATTTGGGCTCCAGTTGGGATTTCATGGGGGCATGGATGAAGTCCTCCACTTGGGGGATGACTTGATCTGTATGTAATAGGGTGCAGGGGAGAAAACTCCTTCAGGTGGGCGGGCAGTGAGAGCAGGGTGGCCCTGCAGGCCTGAGGGGGCATCACGAGGTAACTGTGACTCAGAATTAGCGTGTTGGGTCAAAAAAGGTTTGCAGTGAGGGCGAAGGGCAGCAGGTGGTTATGCTGGTGTGAAATGAGTGAGACCACAGCTGGAGGTGGAGGCTGTGTTTCCCCGGGCAGAGTGGAACTGAATGCCTTTCACGGAATGGTTGCACGTTCAACCGTCCTTAGAGGAGAAGGGTTCCAAGTGGACTTCGGTTATTTGGAGGTTGAGAAATATCTTCTCTGCGTTGCTTGCCGTCATTGAGTCCTTTTTAACCTTGAATAGTCAATATTTAAAAGACGTTTTTCTCTTTGAGATTCTAGGACCAGAGGGCCTATTTTGGCTCTTGTGCTTTTTTGTGTTTACCACCTGCCGAGGGCACGTGTGTGGCCCATGCAGAGGTCGTTGGGTTGCACTGGCCATTCTCCAGTACAGAGGTCAGCGCAGAGAATCATGGGCATAGCGCCCAAACCATCTACACGCCTCGCTTCACCTCTGACGGGAACGTGGACATGCCAGACACATTGGAGGCTGCCGGCCTTCAGCGAGGTGGCATTGCTGTTGCTGCAGAGGTGTCCACTGCATTTGAGTCCACGTGCTTGCAGTGTGGCTTTGCGTTTTGCAGCCGTGGCTGTGTTTCTGAAAGTGCTGTGCTTCTGTTCAAAAAATGGCTGCTTTGGAAACCCCCCCCTTAGGAATTTCCTGGTTAAACAATATTGATAGTTTCTTTTTAGTAGCTCTGCCAGAGATTAACGAGGATCACTGTGATTTGGGACTCTTAGGCTATTTTACTTAATGGGTACATTTGTCTAGCAAATGATACCGTATGTGTACTTGTATAGGAAAACTGCACCCTTCCTGCTGTGTGTCTCCTTTATTCTCACACTACTACCACACTCAGAACACTTCTGACTCCAGATGTGGGGGTTTTCCACACATAAGCAATTCTGTCACACCAGCTGGGTATCCTGCCGTTCACTTCTGACACTCACCGGAGTTAGGGCAGACCCCACAGGCTGAGGGCTCAGACCTACAAGACTGCCCCCACTTCAGACGCCAGTCACAAGCAGTAGGTCCCCAGGTTACCCACACTTTTGTCCAACCTGCTACAAATCTGAGGTTCCCATGACCCACCTCCTTGGATTTGATCATTTGCCAGAACAGCTCACGGAACTCAGGGAAACATGATTACCAGTTTATCATATAACAAAGGACGTCATAAAGAGTCCAGATGAACAGCCAGGTGATGAGGTATATAGGGCGAGGTCCGGGAGGGTCTTGAGCGCAGGAGCTTCTGTCCACGTGGAGCTGGGATGCACCGCCCTCCTGCTACAGGGATGTGTTCACTAACCTGGAAGCTCCTCAAACTCACACTTTGGGGGTTTTCATGGAGGCTTCATCACATGGGCGTGATCGATCATTAGCTCCATTTCCAGCCCCTCTCTCCTCTGCAGAGAATGGGGGATGGGGCTGGAAATCCCAAGCTTCTAATCATGGCTTGGTCTTTCTGGTGAGCAGCCCCCATCCAGGAGCCCACCTGGAATCACTACGTTAGAGCAAAAGATGCCCCTGGTGCTCTCATCACCTAGGAAACCACAAGGCCTTAGGAGCAGAGACTGTTATTTCCCAGTGCTCTTCCCTCGTGATTGCTCTCTCTCAGGCTAGACGTCCTTTCCTCACGTAGACTACCCCGACCCAGCTGTCCAGTGAGCCTGCCAGTCCAGCACCCAGGGCTTGCCCTCTGTGGCACTCCCCTCGTCTTATCCGTCTGCATTTAGGGCACCTGTTTCGTTTTCTGCTGTCTTCCCCACAATGGAAGCCCCATGAAGGCAGGGCCCCTGTCAGTTTTGTTCACCATGTGTTCCCAGTACCAACGCCGTGGCTGGACAGGGAAGGCCCTCAATAAATGGTTATCAAATGGATAAACTTTACATGAAAACTTACCAAATTAATGGGAAAGTACTGAACTGTTGATTAAGGGAGATTAGTTCCTGTAAATATTTCACCTTTCGCACTAGTGGAAGTTCCACTGATCACAAATTCTTGTTCTTTGTAGAAACATGTTAAGAAACATACATTTTGCAGCCGGCTGTATTTTAATGGGATGCAGTTTTCCGATGAGAAATGTAGACAGGTGGATCTGACCGGCAATTCTCACAGGAGGGTTTGTGTTGCCAGCGTGTGCTTCCTTCACAGCTCCTGCGGGAACTCAGGCTACTTAGAGCGTGCGTTTTGGAGTTTTGATTCTAATCTTCCTGGCCAGCTTGCTGTGCAGTCCAGGGCTAAGACACTTTACTTTTCTGAGCCTCATTTTCATTACTTGAAAAATGGAAAAAATAATACTTATGTCAGCAGTTCATTTGTTCAGTCATTTGGCAAATATTACTTCAGGTACATCTGTGCTGGGGACTGTGGGAGAATTAAAAAAAAAAAAAGAAACTCTCAGCCATTGCCTTCGAGGATGATAGCTTGGTTGGGAGGATCAGCCATGCCCAGGAAAAGTTCAGTGGAGGGAGGTGGTGCGGCCGGTGGGGCATGGGGTGGGGGCGGTTCTCATTACTAGCGGGAAAGCAAGCTGACAGCCACAGTTCACAAAGGAACCAGAGGGCCACACCATGGTCTTGCAGTCGAATATCTTCATGTTTACTGAGCAGCTCTGAGGGAAGGGCTAAAAAAATGTGTCAGCACTTTGGCAACTTTGGAGAACTAACAGGTTGCGATGAGCTTTGACTAAATTTAATGGAAGTTTTTCCATTTTTAGGCAACTTCGAACCAGTGCAATGGCGACTCCAGTCAATGGGGCCCACGAGAATGCTGACCTGTGGTCCTCACATGATAAAATGATGGCACAGCCCCTTAAAGACAGCGACACTGAGGTGAGGTTTGTGGGTTTTCATAGATGTTCTTAAATTGGAGGCTCTTGCTTCCATCTCTACTTCTAATCATAAATAACCTTTGTTCAACAGCCTTACAAGTAGTATAAAAGTGTCAGATTTAGAGGCAGTGGCTGACAAAGTGGCTAAAAGTCCTTTGAAGGTAAATTGAAATATTTCTGAGTTTCTACAAAGTGCAGAGCAATGTGCTGGGGGCTCTGGACGAAAGGGGGGCAGAAGCAGGGGGTCACTGAGCTCTGACCCTTTCCTTACTGTTTAGAGGAGCATATCTAGACACCAAGAAGCATCTTTTATTTATGTATTTTTATAACAGCTTTATATATGAGATATCATTCATTTACCATACAAGTCACCCATTTAAAGGATACGATTCAGTGGTTTTTAGTATATTTACAATCAATTTTAGAACATGTTCATCCTGTCAAAAAGAAACCTTGAACTGGGGCTGGTCTTGTGGTCTAGTGGTTAAGTTTGCATGCTCTGCTTCAGCAGCCCAGGGTTCATGGGCCCAGATCCCAGTCACGGCCTTACACACTGCTCATCAAGCCGTGCTGTGGCGCTGCCCCACATACAAAACAGAGGAAGACTGGCACAGGTGTTAGCTCAGCAACAATCTTCCTCAAGCAAAAAGAGGGAGATTGGCAACAGGTGTTAGCTCAGGGCCGATCTTTCTCAAGCAAAAAGAGGAAGATTGGCAATGGATGTTAGATTAGGGAGAATCGTGTGTTGTCCCCCCCTCCCCCAGCAAAAAAAGAAACCTCGAACCCATTAGCAGTCGCCCCTAGGCCCTGCCTAACTCCCCACCACTAGGCAACCACTAGTCTTCTTTCTGTCTGTATGGATTTATCTAAGCATCTTTTATTTTAAGGAAAAGGAGCAAGGAGTAAGGTTCAGGGAAGGAGAAAGTTGGTAAAATGTAGGGATGAAAATTAAGAAGATGGCGTAGAATTAAAAATTAGGTGGGATACATATTTTAAAGATCATTTGCAGGGGCTGGCCCCGTGGCCGGGTGGTTAAGTTTGCATGTCCCGCTTCAGCGGCCCAGGGTTTCACCGGTTTGGATCCTGGGCACGGACATGGCACCACTCACCAGGCCATGCTGAGGCGGCATCCCACATGCCACAACTAGAAGGACCCACAACTAAAAATACACAACTAGGTACTGAGGGGATTTGGGGAGAAAAAGAAAGGAAAAAAAAAAAAAGATCGTTTTCTCTCCAGTCATTTTGTTTTTCTTAATTCATTGTCTTCTATTAATTCCTTCCTAGATGCTAAAATCTTTGAGGAAGATTTCTCTATCCCTTATGTGCTATGGGAGCCTTCTCAGTTTGGTTATTTTGGGTTATGGTCAGCTTCTGAGGCAAAATATGAATCTATAATAGTGGCTCTTCTCTTTATTAGGTTATTGCTTTGATTACAGCAAAATGTTAAACCAAAATGTCCAAAGGTTTAGCATCTGTTTTCTTCTCCTCAGGTTTATAACATCATTAAGAAGGAGAGTAACCGGCAGAGGGTCGGATTGGAGCTGATCGCGTCCGAGAACTTTGCCAGCCGAGCCGTTTTAGAGGCCCTGGGCTCTTGCTTAAATAACAAGTACTCTGAGGGGTACCCAGGCCAGAGGTACGTGAATGTGGTCAAAGACCTGCTTCTGACATCGTCATGTGAAGTACTGAGGGAGTATAGAGTCCAGACAATTTGGAAATTTCAGGAAACAACAAAGTTTTCAACTGTGGTGACTTCTTTTCCACTCCTGCTCGCTGACATAACTCAAAAGAGGTCAGGGTCACTTTAGCAGTCCCTTTGGGGGCTTTCTAGAATAATAGGCCAGTCTATAATGAGTGTGGAGCTGCTGGACTGTTGTCAAGCTTCTAGAAAAGGTCAGTACTCTGAGTGATGCCATGGAAGGTTGCTGTTGCCGTGTGGGTAGTCGAATCTGTATCAGGAGTGACCCGGAAGTGGAAACTGAGTCTGTCACACTGAATCTGTTGTGCTGGAAACGGTTTCTGCATTATAAATGTGGGATTTACATATGCGGTGATTTCAGTCAGCTCCTGCACCCCGAGAGCCGTGATAAGTATACTCATTTTTGTTCTTTACGGTCATCATAATCAGGCAAAGATGATGATCACAGAATTTAACATTGCACATTTGTATCCCAAAGGACATGGAAAAAGAAAGGCCACCATGGAGTTGAAGTGGCCTTCTATCCTGAGACACCCCTGAAGCTCTCTGTGGCAGAGCTGAGACCCAAGTTGAGGGTCTTTCCTGCTGTGAATCACCAGCTCTTACACTGTGCCTTGAAGAGCTCATTGGGTGTTTTCACCACTGATATGTCGTGTGACCCTCATGGCAGCCCTATAGGGCAGTGGGTGCTGTGCTCCACATTTTAAAGATGGGGAATCTGAGACTCACCAGAGTTCAGGGACTTGTCAAGTGTGCACACAGGTAGTGGAGCTGGGACTCGACTCCAGATGTTTTCACACTGTGGTGTGATAAAAAATAAATATCCGGACTTTGTCCCTGGTTCCTGGTACTGAGCTCCTAAAACCCTTGGAATTGCTTGGTGATAGGAGTGTCTTCTGTTATTCATAATGAGCCCTTTTTGACCACACCTGAGTTTATGGTAATGCAGTGACTCAGGGTGGGGCCCCTGCATGGCTTCAGGATGGAGGCTCGTCACCGGAAAGATCAGACTTGTGATGTGAAGGTCAGAACTTTCAGCTCCCTACCCCCAACCTCCAGGGATGGGAGGGGAGGCTGGAGCCGGTGCTCGTACAGCTTGAGGTGCTGGAAGGGTGGCACGCCCCCCATGCCTTGCCCTGTGCATCTCTTCCATTGGTTCCAGAGTTGAATCCTTTATAATAGACCAGTGACAAATAAAAATGGCAAGCAATAGGATATATTGGAGACTATGAGGAAGCCATTTGGTATAAACCTAATTTGGCCTGACCTTGTCTTTCTAAAAGGGCCTGACCGAGGCCGTTGAGCATGCATTGTATATCTGCTTAGACATTCCCTATGGCAAGAACAAAGGCCCTTGAGATAAAGGTGCAACTTCCCTCCCCCTCCCAACGTTGGCATCTCCTTAAGGATTAAGCATCTTTCCTTAGGCTAGAAACTGATTGCTGCGCTCACCTGTGACCGCCCAGCTCGAGACAATAGACTTGCCTCCTGCTACGCCCTCCGAGATAGCAGACCCACTACCTGCTGTGTCCATCAAGCACTGTGCTGACAGGGCAATCTTGTGACTATTGTGGGAGGGACATTTCAATCATATGTGAAACGTCCTGTTTGGGGGTATATAACCACTCTGTATACCTCACTTCTTTGGTGCCCTTTCTTCCTTTGGGAATAAGGGCCCCGGGCCATGGTCCTCAGATTTCAGCTCAGAATAAACTCTCCCAAATTTTCATTTATAGATTGGTTATGGATTATTTTCGTCAACACCAGTAATCGTAAGGAAAGCAGTTTCTTGAGTTTTGTGAGTTGTTCTAGTGAATTATCAAGCCTGAGGGCTGGTTATTGGGACCCCTGAATTGTAGCCAAGTTGGACAGAAATGTGGGTAGCCTGGGGACCTGGCACTTGAGACTGGCATCTGAAGTGGGGGCACCCTTAACCTGTGAGGTCTGAGCCAACTCTGGCTCGTTGGTGTCAGAGTTGAATGGAACTGTTGGACACCCAGTTGGGGGTCTGAGAATTGGTTGTTGGTGTTGGGAAACCACACACACGCTCCAAATCCCAGGCTGGCCCAGAAGTTTCAACATTTGTGGTTGATCTTGTGGAAAATACTCTGATGGGTCCTGGGCTTCCCGTCCCCACCTGGTGAACAGAGGGATTCCCATGTCTGGGGAGTGGAGACAGGTGGTCTCTGGCCCCCATGAGGTGTTAAAGAGTCACTGTGTTCGCTGCTGTGGTTTGAGGGCACCCATTGGTCACTGGTGGCATCTCACTCCTCCGTGAGTTTTGTTGCAAAGGGGAACAGACACAGATGAAGAGTCTTAGTGTTAGGTGAAGTCAGTTTGAAGAGCAAGCTTAGCTGCCAGGCCACATTAGGCTTCTGGATCCCTTGCCGAGAGCTGGGGTCCCCACACAGTTGGAGACAGCAGCAGGGAACTGTGTTGGCGTTTATTGAGTGCTTGGCTGAGCTTCATCAGCACTCAGCTCTCATTTTTTTACATTTTAATGTCTCTGAAATTGGCATGAATCTGATTGATAGCGAGTCATAATATAATTGAAAATACTTTTCTCTTCCTCAGTCATTAATAAGGCAATGGTCATCTTGTGGTTGAGCGTCTCAAACTGAGCAAGCACAGCAGTGCGTGTTCTAGGGATTGGGCTGAGTGCAATCCCCTGCGGCCCCCATTCTTCTGTGCTCTGCGGCCGGACTGCAGAGTCAGCACTCTCAGGGTCTTTCAGGATAAGGAATTAGACTTGGGTGGGTGAAATAGGTGCCCCCAGTCCCACGGCTGGTAAAGAGAACTGGGTTCCCACGGGCGCTGTCTGCACAGCACACGCTTTCCGCGGCTCCCTGCCGCGGCTTGTCTGTTGGAGATGAGGCAGGCAGGGGCTCAGGGCCTCGCCATGACCATGAATCGCTGGACTGTGTTTGCTCCCCTGGAAGACGGTTCTTTGCTAAGGCCCCTTCAGCCCTGACATCTCTGATGGTTCCAGGCATGAGCTGCTCTCCTTCAGGCTTGGGGAGACCACACCCTCCCTTGGTCACAGAGCAGAGAATGAGGCTGGAAGGGACCTTCAAGATTACTCAGTGGAGCCCCTTTTGGTTTCAAGACTCATTCTATGATTTTTAATTACATAGGTGAACCAAATGAGACTAATATATATTAGAAAAACTTAAATAGAAGAGAGTTAAATCGTTTATTCGTTTTAAAGGACTCTTTTAAAAGGTGATTATTACCCATTTTCATGATCATGTTTTCTTAATAACATCAGTTTATCTTTTGGGATGTTATTAGTGATCAAAGTTAACGTATGAAAACAATATTGATCTAGCGTTAATGACTTTGCTTGATACAAATCTAAAAACAAAGCTCTGGTTTTTAATTTTTCTATAGCAATTTTATTGAGATATAATGTACATGCCATGCAGTTCACCCAAGTAAAGTGTGCAGTTCAATGGAAACCCCCTATGGTACCATAGAAAGATATTTGGTCTTTTTTTTTTTTTTAAAGATTGGCACCTGAGCTAAGAACTGTTGCCAATCTTCTTCTTTATTTTTTTTTTTTCTGTTTTATCTTCCCAAACCCCCCGTACATAGTTGTATATCTTAGTTGCAGGTCTTTCTAGTTGTGGGATGTGGGACGCTGCCTCAACGTGGCCTGACAAGCAGTGCCATGTCTGCGCCCAGGGCTGCCGCAGCGGAGCACGCGAACTTAACCACTCAGCCACAGAGCCAGCCCCTGGTCTTTGTCCCATTCCTGACACACCTTTCAAATGCCTTGAGCGTCTTTTGTTCATAGTGAGCCCTTTCGAGACAAAACCTGAGTTTATGTGAAGGAAGTGGCTCTTGGTGGCCCTCTAGGTAGCTTTAGGATGGGGGCTGGTAGCCAGAAAGACCAACGCATTAGAGGCTGGAGACGGAGTTAATCACCAATGGCCAATGATTTCATCAATCACACCTCATAATGAAATCTCCACAAAAACCCTAAACGGGGAAGTTTGGAGGGCTTCCTGGGGGGGGGTGAACACATTGAGGTGCTGGGAGGGCGTTACTCCTGGAGGGGGCATGGAAGCTCTGAGCCCTTCCCCATGCCTTTCCCTGTGCATCGCTTCCATTTGGCTGCTCCTGAGTTGCAGCCAAGTATAATAATAATAAGTTTATTATAATAACTTATAATAAACCGGTAATAATAAGGAAAGTACTTCCTGAGTTCTGTGTCATTCTATTGGATTATCGAACCTGAGGGGTGTCGTGGGAATCCCCAAGTTGTCAGACAGAAATGTGGTAACTTGGGGACCTGATAATTGCAACTGGCCTCTGAAGTGAGCATCCTGTGGGACTGAGCCCTTAACTGTGGGGTCTCTGGGAACTCCGGGTAGTTAGGTCAGAATTAAAGTGAATTGTATGACCCTAGTTGGTGTCAGAATCGGTTGATGTGAGGGAAAAACCCCACACATTTGGCATCAGAAATCTTGTCAGTTAGAACCTCTCATTCCCCTTCTTTTCTTTATTGCAGTAAAATGTGCATAACATAAAATTTACCATTTTTAAGTGCACAGTTCAGTGGCATTAAGTACATTGACGTTGTTGTGCAACCCTCACCATCACCCATCTCTAGAACTTTCTCCTCTTGCAGAAAAAAAGCTCTGTCTCATTATACAATAACGCCTGGCCAACAAGCACATGGAAAGATGCTGAACCTCTGTAATCATCAGGGGATGCAAACCAAAACCACGATGAGGTGTCACCTCACACCCTTTATAAAGGCTACTATCGGAAAAACAAAATAACAGATGTTGGCAAGGATGTGGAAAAATTGGAGCCTTGTGTACTGCTGGTAGGAATATAAAATGATGTAACCACTGTAGAAAATAGTGTGGGGGTTTCTCAAAAAATTAAATAGAATTACCACATGATCCAGCTATCTACTTCTGGGTATATAGCCAATAGCATTGAAAGCAGAATCTCAAGATATTTGCACACCCATGTTTATTACAGCATTATTCACAATAGCCAAGAGGTGGGAGCAACCCAAGTGTCCATTTACCGATGCATGCGTAAGCAAAATGTGGTCTATCCATGCAATAGAATGTCCTTCAGTCTTAGAGAAGACGGAAATCCTGTCACATGCTAAAACACAGATGAAGCTTGAGGACATTATGCTAAATGAAGTAAGCCAATCACAGAAAGACAAATACGGTATGATTCCACTTACGTGAGGTGCGTAGAGTAGTCAAATTCATAGAAACAGAAAGTAGAGTGATGGTTGCTAGGGGCTGAGGGGAGGAACAAATGGGGGGGAACAAATGGAGAGTTGTTTGGTGGGTATAGAGTTTCAGGTTTCCAAGATGAGAAAGTTCTAGAGATCTGTTGCACAACAATGTGAATATAGTTAACTAAACACTACTAAACTGTATGCTTAAAAATGGCTAAGATGGTAAATTTTATGTGTTTTTTAGTCTAATAAAAAAATGTATATATGTTTCATTTAAAAATTTTAAAGCTGTTTGTGAGCACAAGGCCCAAGTGTTAAAAGTTTCTTCTGAGCCAGCCCTGATGGCATAGGGCTTAAAGTTCCGCACACTCTACTTCAGCAGCCCGGGTTTGGTTCTCGGGTGCAGAACCACACCACTCGTCTGTCAGTAGCCATGCTGTGGCGGTGGCTCACACAGAAGAACTAGAAGGACTTACAACTGGAATATACGACTATGTACTGGGGCTTTGGGGAGGAAAAAAAAGAGAGAGAGAAAGATTGGCAACAGATGTTAGCTTGGGGTGAATCTCTCCCAGCAAAAAGAAAAAATTTCTTCTGGATTGAGTTATTATGATTATTAATAGTATACAGATAATCAAAAACATAAATACATGGTAAATTTTGATATGTAATTGTCAAACAAAAAGTAAAATTTTATTGGAAATGCAAAAACAACCCCAATAACCACCCCCCGGTGGTTACACATACACACCGCTGCCAGCCCCTGGCACCTCCGCTCTGCTTTCTGTCTCTATGGATCTGGCTGCTCTTCGTACCTCATGTAGGGGACGCACACAGTAGTAACTGCTTGTTTCTCTTAGCATAATGATAATGCCCTCAAGGTCCATTCATATAGCATGTGTCAGAATTTTCTCTCTTTTTAAAGCTGGAACCCACCCCCTCTTTACAGCTGAGGAGCTACTTGCTCAGAGTCACACAGCTGCCTGGGTCTTCTGACCTCAGCACTGGAGGCACTGATGGAAGATGAGTTGTGTTGGGTTCAGGATACAAGTCCTAACCAGTTTTCCACTTGTGGTGTTCTGTCCTACCCCAAGCTGTGGCCTCTGCACTGAGCACAGAGTTTCGGGGCCAGAGTGGGCCCAAGTCTCTTGCTTTCCCCTCGCAGGTATTACGGCGGGACTGAGTTTATCGATGAACTGGAGCTCCTCTGTCAGAAGCGAGCGCTGCAGCTCTATGATCTGGACCCCCAGTGCTGGGGGGTCAACGTCCAGCCCTACTCAGGTAATTGCCATGTCCGGGCAGGCCTGGGCAGCCCCCTTCCTGCCAGTCTCCCGGGCTGATGTTCACAGCAAGAAGTCCTAAAGAGGACTGCCCGTAAATGAAAGTGAAAAATAAGCTAAGCCCCTCCTGGTTTGTGCGTCTTTCTCCATTGCCCTTGGCTCCCAGCTGCACTCGCCCCGCCCAGGCGGTGTCCTGTCTCTGAACGTGCCCCTCCACCTACAATCAAAGGCGTTGTTGTCGGGGAACTTCTAGGGGGCTTGGGGAATGCATAATGGCAGCCAGGCCTGTTCTGGCCATTCCTGGTTGATGGCCTGGTTGCCAAGCTCCAGGCACTTCTTAATGCCTCTGGGAAATAATCCTGCCTCCTCTGGTGTGTGTGTTCCAGGCTCCCCTGCAAACTTCGCAGTGTACACCGCCCTGGTGGAGCCCCATGGGCGCATCATGGGCCTGGACCTGCCCGATGGGGGCCACTTGACCCATGGGTTCATGACAGACAAGAAGAAAATCTCTGCTACATCCATCTTTTTTGAATCTATGCCCTATAAGGTAGGAGTGCGTCTCTCTTCATAGCCCGGTGGTCTGTTTCCTCACAAAACCTCCAGCATTTCACTGTGCCTCTAGGAATAAGTAGTTTTGTTCACCTGGCACTACAGAAACCCCCATCTGTCACTGTTTGTCATTCCCTGCTCTGGGGACTCCACAGGCATTCAGGGCTCTTTGGGGTCAGCTGGGATGGAGAGCAGGGGTGCTGAGCTGAAGTGCAGGGAGATGGGTGGGGGAGGTGACTGCCCAGGAGGTTTCAGCTACAGCAGGGGTGCTGGCTGCTTCAGAACTAGAGGCAACGACAGCTGGGGTGACAGCTCCCAGCTCCCAGGGCAGCTACAGCCTGGCGCCTAGTGACAGCCCTGCTCGGAACCCCTGCGGGCCAGCAGCTGCAGCCCTGGCTCCAGCACGGATGCCAGCAGCTGTGTCAGCACCCAGCCCTCCACAGCTCAGTCAGAGCCAGCCCCTGCGGCCGGGAGGCTGGAGCCAGGGCTGCATGCCCACCCTCGCCTACGATGTCGCTGTTAGGGGAACAACTTGCCCCTGCACCCTGCCACCTTCCAGCACAGACTTGCCCTCAGCCAGCCACAGCCAGTACAAGCCATATGCCCAGCATGTATTTATGTGAGGGTCTTTGTCATTATAAACAATTTGGTCAGAAAATGCATTAAGATTCATGGGCTCGCGTGAGGCATAGTGACTGTCTATAAAGATGATTCGAGTGGTGGGTAGAAAAGAGGTAACTTGCATACTTGTTTATGGTGCCCATGCTGATTCTTCCTCATGTCCAGGGACTGTCCTCTTGTGTTGATTGATGGTTAGTTTCATGTGTCCCACCATGAGCAGTGGTGGCAGTGCATCATTACGCTTGGCAGGATATCAGACACATGATTTTATCCTTTTAAGAAAATCAAGCCCGTGTTCTCTCTTGGCATCCGTGGTCTTTGTTGCATACCCTCGATTGCTCACTCTTTATTAGCCTCTGTCTCAGTTCTAGTAATTGCACATGTGCTTTTTGTGTATAGATGACAGTTCATTTTTCATGGAAAGCCTAGGTGTTTCCAGTCACAGCTATCCTCATTGGCCAGTGCTGCCCTTGAAGAAGGATTTTGAAATGTGACAATAGTGCCAACGCTCTGTCTTTGCACTTAGAACACAAAAGCCAGTTTCTCCAGTTTCTTGTACTGTGGAAAGAATGGTGGCAGAGAGTCATCAATGGTTTGTTTTCAGACCTTCAATGAGGCCTTGGGCAGCCCCATGCGTTTTAGCCCAATGTCCTGTGTCACTGAAGAGTCTCTTCTGGGCATTGGCAAGCTCAGGGCTGCACCCCGGTCCCCCGCAGCTGCCCCTGTTTTTGACACGCACTGCTCAGGCGGCACCCCCGTGGGTGCAGTGGGGGATGCGAAGCAATGGGGCCTGGGACCCTGGCCAGCCTGGGCAGCAGGAGGCACAGCTCACCTGTGGGCACCGGCCTTGGTGGGCAGGGAGGACACAGCCTTACTGGCCTCCAGCAGTAGCCAGCATGGCTCCTCTGCCCACCAAGCTGCCTCCCTGCCCAGCCTTTGCCTGGACCCCTGCCCACTCCCTGAGACTCTCTCCACCCTCCAGGCAGCTGTCCCACACGAGCCAAGCGTTTCATCTCTGGAGAAACAGCAACACGAGCTCCAGCCGTGACTAACGAGCGCCTCCCCGCCGGCCGGAGCAGCTGCGGGGCTGCCCTCCTGCCCGCTGCCCCCGCAGCACTCCAGCTCCTCTGTACTTTGTTACCAAGACCCCTAAATTCTTCCAGGAGTTGTTTTTTGTTGAATTTTCAAGAGTAAAAAAGCAGGAAAACTTTGTGAAAGTCCCACAAGTTTAAAAAGCAAAATGTGAAAGGAGAGCATGGCAATAGATTTTTTTGGTAATTATGTCTTTTAAAAAATTTTTAGAATTATGTCCATTTTTTTACTGTGGGTCAGCTGTTGATTTTTCATTAAGATAACAGTTTCTTTGCCAAGTTCAGGTGACTGAGAAAGATGGGCTTACACCCCCAAAACAAACTCACAAAACCAAACCCCAAATGGTCCTTCGGCCTGCCTTTCCAGATGGTGCCTGGGCTCCTGTCCCCTTACCCACAAGCTTCGTAATTGAATTGAATTGTAAGCGCTCTTTTTATTGGGAGGGGTAACCACCAAACCCGAAACCCTTCCCTCTGGGGGCAGGGGCTTCAGAACGTGAAATTCCTCTCATGACCTCCTCCCCGGAGGGCTCCCATGCCCAGCGCCCCTAAGTTTACCTACAGGAAGCCCCCTTGATCATTTTTACTTCTCTTTGGCACTTTTTTGGTGCTTTAATCTAACTTTAACAAACTGAACTTACTAAGAAATGTGTTGCCAGAAAAGAAGAACTTGTCTTACGTTTCACAGGTAGATGGATCCACAGTCTGTCTGGAGTTGATGTGCGTGTGTGGGGTGAGGCAGCTGTCCAGAGAGCATCGTCTTGTGTGTGCATAAGCAGTTGACCCAGTGCCATTTACTGGAAGACCACCTTGCCCTGCAGTGCCACCGTTGTCATCCATCGATGACTGTGTCACCAGGGGTTCAGTTCCGCCCGGAAGACTGGCTGCTCTTCTACAGGCACACGCTGCCTTAGTTACTAGAACTTTTTTAAGTGTTCTTAAATTTCTCTCAATAGTGTTTTATGTAGAGGCCTTGTACATGTTTCATTAGGTATTTTATGGGTTTTGACACTAATGATACTATTAAAATGTCATTTTCTGGTTTTTGTTGCATACATATATAATTGATTTTTGGTTTTTGACCCTGTATCCAGTGACCTTGCTAAATTTACTTACTAATTCTAATAGCTTGCATGTGGAGTCTCGGTTTTCCAGATGCAGTGTCTCAGTGTCTTTGTGTAATGTCAGCTTATGTCTTCTCACCCTTATGCTTTTTCTTTCTTTTTCTTGCTCGTTGTACTTGGATTGGAAGTCCTGTTGGCGGGCATTTTATCTCACTCCTGGAGGAAACACTGTTGCGTGGTGCGTGTCTGCCACTCCTATTTCATTCTGCAGCAGCTTTTTGGTTCCTTCTCGTCAAGTGGTAGAGCCCTGCCCCTGGAACCCCTCAGTGCACCCTGGCCCCGTGAGCGATACCTGGTTGTCTATGCCACTTGTGCAGGCCGAATACACTGGCACTCCTCTCGCCCTCAAGCCCTGGTCTGGGGCATCTCCCTGTCTCCATGGCAGCGCAGAGTGAGCAGCTTCGGGCAGGTGCAGGAAGGCCTCTTAGCCTTGACAGCTGGCGGGAGTGCAGGTGGGAGGGAGGCACACCGTGGCTGAGGAAGCAGCCTGAGCCTGCTATCTCTGTGACATTCCACAGGTGAACCCAGAGACTGGCTACATCAACTACGACCAGCTGGAGGAAAATGCTCGCCTCTTCCACCCAAAGCTCATTATCGCAGGTGACGAACCAGGCAGAGAGCAGCTGTAGGGTCAGCAGATCATGGCTTGTGCAGAAGGAAGATGTGAAGATGCCTCCCACTGTCCTTGCTTACTGCACTGCTAGTTTCTGCCTTAGATAGCTGAGCTGCTGGGGTCTAAGTGTATGCTTTTCTTTTTTTTTTAAAGATTGGCAACAGTTGTTAGCTCAGGTGCCAATCTTTTTGGGTTTTTTTTCTGCTTTATCTCCCCAAACTCCAGCCCCCCCACATAGCTGTATATATCTTAGTTGCAGGTCCTTCTAGTTGTGGCATGCGGGCTGCCGCCTCAGCATGGCCTGATGAGCGGTGTCATGTCTGCACCCAGGATCCGAAACAGCGAAACTCTGGGCCGCCGCAGCGGAGAACGTGAACTTAACCACTCGGCCATGGGGGCCAGCCCCTGTATTCTTTTCTTTCAGGACAAATGTCATGTTTGCCACCATTAGTACTAGGGTGGAGTAAGATCCAAGGCTGTTCTTAGAGAAGCATCTAGAAATGTTAATCCCTGACTGATTGGGGGTGGTAATAATAGTTGGTGGCCATCTCAACCACCATGACATCAAAGAGGCAGTGATCAGAGTGGTTGCCTTTGACACAAAGATGTTTTTCGTGGGCATTCTTCATTTCTGTTCCCAGACATTTTAGAGGGAGAAATCTCCAAGCTTTCAAATAATGCATACCCTGAGGCCACTTTGCAGATTTGCACTGCGGCCAACTGTGCGCTGGCCACGGGCATCTCTGGCTCCATCGTGTCACCTTTACCATCTTAGGAACCAGCTGCTACTCCCGAAACCTGGACTACGCTCGATTGCGGAAGATTGCAGATGACAATGGGGCGTATCTCATGGCCGACATGGCACACATCAGTGGGCTGGTGGCGGCTGGTGTGGTGCCCTCCCCCTTCGAGCACTGCCACGTGGTGTCCACCACCACCCACAAAACCCTGCGAGGCTGCCGGGCTGGCATGATCTTCTACAGGAGAGGTGTGCTCCTGCACGTGGGCTACAGGCGGGGTGCCGGGGTTTGCCTTTTTCCTCTGGAGGCTCACATTTGGTTTAGGAAGCTGGGGAAAGCTCTGACCTGGGAGCCCTTGAATATTTTAGGATCTCTTAAAGAGTTCCTTAGGAGGGGGCAACAACAGGCTTTATAGAAGCGATCTAGAAGGAGGCCCTGAGCACAGCTGTCCAGGTCCTTGGGGAGGAACAAGGGCATTGTGCTGGGTGCCAGTGTCTTTTAGCTCAGCTAACCTTGCCTGAGAGGCAGACGTCGGAGAGAAAGGAAGGCGTGCGTGGCTGGCGGGGGCCACCGGAAGGCCTCTCAGTGCAGCTCTGCTGAGCTCACTGTAGTCTAGGATGCTTGTCCCAGAGCAGGCTCCATGGTAGTCAAACCATGAGACACTGATGTATAACCCGTAGTACCAGTTTAGTCATTTTAGTGAGGAGTTTCTCTTTCCAGTAATGGCATGCTTACAATCCGTGTGCAGGTGCTCCCCTTATTTTGGGATTCCCATACCTGAGACAGCCAGATAGTGATCAGATCATCATTCAGCCCATGGTGAGACCTGTGCAGTAACCTTGCATCAGCAGAGAAACCTGCCCTCTGGTGCATGTGTTTCTCTTTACCTCCAAGGCAGGGTCTCCTCACCCAGCCCCTGGCCAGGGCTGGACACACTCATGGCTTCTCAGTGCCCTGTTGCCTCCAAGCTCCTCTGAGGTCCTTCTTCAGTCATGCTGAGGTTTCTGAGGCAGGCAGCCATTCCCACCTGCCTGGGAGATGTTTGTTTTTCCCACTGTCTGTTGGTGTGATTTGTTTGATCCAGCCAGCCAGATGGCTCTGCCACGTATACACTGTGTGATCTTGGACTAAGTTGTACAGCCTCTCTGTGCCTTATTACCTCACCTCACAGTAGGGTCTGATAATAGTACCTGTCCCTTCAGACTGCTGTTGCGAGGATTAAATGAATTAATTTAGCTAAAATGCTTAGAGCAGGTCCTGGCTCACAAGCAGCTCTCTATTAGAGGGACAGTAGTAGTTACTATTACTGATGATTAACTCTTTGTCAGAAAGAAAGCTTATTCCCTGTATCTAGCCAAGTGAGTCTCCTCCCCTTCGGAGTATTCATCTTGGAAGGCTGCTCTCTTGGACACTTCTTTGAGGGAATATGCCCAACGCAGTTTCTTTGTTACGATCTCAGTGGGGGAAAATTTTTATCCTCCCGTGTCATCTGTGAAAGGGTGGCCTGCCCCCCTCTGCTCTGCAGCATTGTGGACCAGGTCTAGCCTCCAGGAGCAGAGGCCAGGCTTGTGCTCAGCGCCCCCACAGCCAGTCTGGGTTTGAGTCCAAGCAGGGAGGATACAGAGGGGACAGCCTATCCGGTGTTCCCATTCTGATATTTGTCTTCATCCAGGAGTGCGCAGTGTGGATCCCAAGACTGGCAAAGAAAGCCTGTACAACCTAGAGTCACTCATCAACGCCGCCGTGTTCCCAGGCCTCCAGGGAGGTCCCCACAACCACGCCATCGCTGGTAAAACTTTCCCGCAGCCACCCAAGAGCCCTCAGATGGCCCTTCACCTGACAGTGGCCCTGGCAGTCTGGGGTTCTCTCACTTTTGCTCATCCCGTGAACCCTAATTCCCATCTCACCTGTCCACCCAAAGTGTGTGCCAGGCCTTCCACGCTGGAGTAAAACGAGAGGAACAGCTCTGTCTAGGAGATGCTAACAAGGAAGAAAAGGGAAACAGTGGTGATGGGTGTGGTAGGGACAAGAAGGAATGATGGCCACTCCACATGCATGGCCACCCCTAGGCAAAACTGAGAGCCAGGCCAGGGTCCCTGTGCAGCCCTCGTAAAGAAACAACAGGGAGGGGATGTGACAATAGAAGCAGGCATAGCCAAGGGAGTGTGTGATTAGCAAGGAAAAGTTGCTGCTCCCCTAACATCCTGACCTCCGGTGGACGTGGAGGCACTGTGTCTGACTCTCACACTGTTGACCTTAGGGTCACACTGGTAACTCGTGGGTCCAGTTCCGCGATCGCCCAGCAAGCTGTTTGACTTGTTTCTTCTCTGTTTATACAAGTGGCTTAGAAAATTTGTGATGATTTCAAAGTTATCCCACTATCTCATTTGGAACAAAGCAATTGTTAGAGGGGCCCAGGGGGAAGGTGTAACGTCTCCATCAAGAGAAGCACTAGCTTTTCCAAAGAGCGAAGTGGAGGAAGCAGTGAGTGGGGAATTTGAGGCCCCCGGGGCTGGGGAGGGGCGCGTGTCCACCGGGGTGTTTTCACGTTGCCCCTTTATACCTCCAAGCCCAGCACCTGCAGTTTTCTCAAATCTTAGGATGGTGGGATCGCCTGGTCTCCAGCAAGTCCAGGCCATTTCCAGTCATTTCCACAAACATTGGTTGGAGGCTTCTGTGCCAGACTCCGGCACACATATTTTGCATTCTCCTCCATCTTCCGTGCCCCTTTACACAGCCCTCGGGACTGAGTACAAGGTACCAGATGACTCTGGAGGAGCAGGATAAAACAGCCTGCTCCTCCAGCTGGACTCTGAGCTGAAAGATCTGCATAATTTGGCAATAAAGCATCAGCTTTTGGGGCAGCTAAGTAATTGTTTTCACCTAGCAAGCTTAAAAAGAACTGGAAAATCCCTCTTGCTTAAGTGCAGCTTTCCTGTGGTAATCTCATTAGCCCGAGACGTCCATGCCTGGGGAAAGGCTGCCTCAAAGGCACTTCCCCAAAGAGAGGAGGTCTAGAGGTCTAGCCAGGTAATTGTAGGGTTAAAAATAGATGTCATTTTGGGGGGAAATGTAACCCAGCCCCTTTGGTGACACTGAGATGCGGGGGAGCCTGAGTGGAAGCGAGGGGTTTTTGACTCACAGTCTGTCTTTTGATCCCGTCCGGCCTTCCTGACCCGTGGTCTCTTCCTGCCAGGGGTTGCTGTGGCCCTGAAGCAAGCCATGACTCCGGAATTCAGACTCTATCAGCGCCAGGTGGTGGCCAACTGCAGGGCTCTGGCTGAGAGCTTGATGGCACTGGGCTACACAGTAGTAACAGGTACCGACGGAAAGTGCTGGCTGGCACCCTGCTCCTCGTGGTTGCACTGAGACTTGCAGCCTGGTCCGTCCAGTCAGGGTGTGGCTGTGGGCCGGTGGCCCTGGGCTCCTCCAGAGGAACCGGCATGCCCGTTGTGGCCTCCCCCTTGCACTATGCCAGCTGCCTCCTCGGCCACGCCGTAAATGATGGTCATAGTAACTGCTGTTTGTTGCCTGGCGAGTGAGGCCACAAGTCCTCGGAACAGCTTTCTACAAGGAGTTCCTGAGGCTCAGCTGAGAGGTCACACAGCTGATGGAGGGCAGGACCCAGGGCCTTCTTGACAGCAGTGCCTCGCACTGTCCCACTGGAGTGTCCCCACTCACCCCCGAGGGTCAGGGCACAACAGGCCCTCCCACGGGAGCTCGGGGGCGGTTGCTATGTCCATGTTGGCTTTCATACAAAAGATAGTGGCGCTGAGTGGCCTGAGTGAGATGGACTTGCCAAGGGAGGGCCCACTCGTTGCCGTCCGCCTGTCCCTGCGGCTGCCACAATCAGGACAGCATTTCTGGCAGACAGCGTGCTATGTTATCCGGAGGAAGGGCAGCTTTCCTCTGCTCACAAGGCTGCCGTGTATGCTAGCCGTGGGGTGGTCCAGGGAGGTGGTTCCTGGCATCCCCTAGGCTCGGGGGCCCACCCTGCCCGCTGCCCTTCACGGGGTCTACAGGCCCCAGTCTGAGGAGTGGGCCCCCACCAAGCCTTGTGTTCGTGAGGGGCAGAGCTAGGTAGGACCCTTCTTTTCTGTGTTACTTCCCTTCCTTTCTTTGCTTTCTCCTTCACCCTCTACATCTTCCAGTAAGAAAGCCCCAGAAATCTCAGTGTGGACCGTGACCTTCAAGGTCCTTTAGGTCGCTGTTTCTCACACTTGGATATGCACACAGATCCCCTGGGCACCCTGTAAAAATGCAGGTTCTGACTCCATAGGTCTGAGCTGGGGTCTGCCTTTCTCACCAGCTCCCAGGTGATGCTGGTCCAGGAACCAGGCTTGGCATTGCAAGGATTTAGGCCAAACAGGCGTCACATGGCAGCCTGGCAGCCCTGGCACTGCTCAAAGCCTCCCAGCGAGTCTTCCCCACCTTACTAAGTTCCCAGGCCTGCCCTCAGCCCTCGTTCACTCTGCTCTGAGGACACATGCAGATAGCTGACACAGACGATGTGACCACAAGAACAGCCCGCATTTGTGGATACCTGCTTTGTGCCTGGTGCTCGCCAAGCACTGTATACACTGCCTTTTTTAAACCTCAAAACAGGCTTGTGAATTATTGGTCTTACTTTACAAATAGGCGTCTGAGGTTCTAAAATGTTGAGCTGCCTGACTAGAGCCACATCGCTAATAAGTGGGTGGCTGTGACCTAGTTTACCTGAATCTTTGAAGTCGTTGCTGTTATCCAGCTCAGTGACCTAGGATTAGCAAGAGTTCAAGGTGGAAAGATGCAGGTGCTCGGACTCCTGGGTGGCCTTGGGCCAGTTCCAGAGAGTTCTGATAGCTTCAATATCCTCATCTGCACCGTTTTGGTAATACTGTCACCCTCGCAGGATTAGGGATAAAATATATGACAGACTAGCAGTGTCTGGTGCCTACAAGGTGCTCAGTGAATGTAGCGGTCACCCACCGTGACCATAAATTGAACCGCTACCTGCTACTCTGAGGCCACTTAGGGGGAATCTTGAAGATGGATTTCAGAGACACATGAGAAATTCCCAAGTGATTTGTCAGAGAAAACAGAAGTCACAAATGGCACTGAACACACTGTCACTCCCCAGACAAGCTTCCAGGCCCTTCCCCGGCTCCTGGTGTGTTGGGTCATGGCAGGGGGTAGTCTGGGCTGTGGAAACCACCGGTCATTTTCCTCTCAGCTTCACAGGCCCCCTCTGCGTCATCAGGTACCCTTTTTAAACTACTCTGTCCTTTCAGCTCTTAGGCCCTGGGCATCTTCTTTGGCAGGTGGTTAAAGCCTTCCCGGACACACGATGGGGTACGCACTTTCCTCACCTCCTCTGCTGTGGCCCCTCCGGCCCTCATCCTCATTTCTTAGAGGAGAGAGATTCCTTCACTTGGCATGGAATTGGCCTTCTGCATTCCTACATGTCCAACTTGGTTTCCAGGTGGTTCTGACAACCATTTGATCCTCGTGGATCTCCGTTCCAAAGGCACAGATGGTGGCAGGGCTGAGAAGGTGCTAGAAGCCTGTTCTATTGCCTGCAACAAGAACACCTGCCCAGGTGAGAATCCTCCTTGGTCTTCTCCTCTCTACCTCTCCTGTCTGCATTTCTTATAGTCAGAGTTATAGCTGATGATAATATGGCTCTGGGGACAGACATCAAATGACTTGGGGGCATAGACATCCCATGCTGGATGGGAACCAAGTCATGGCTCTCCTGCCTGCTCTTTCTGACACGGCTCTAACCCTGCCAGGGACAGAGACGGAGGGACAGGCGGAGTGCTTGGAGGTGGGGGGGCATTACGACGAGGGGAAGGGGCCTTGAAAACAGGCCCAATTTCTCACTGGGTTGTTAATCAGATGTGACGCATCTCAAACCCAGACAGATGCCAGCCTCACTCGTAGGAGCAAGGGCCACGTCACAGAAGGGGACTTTCTTACTATTTAAAACAGGGCGGCCAGAATGTGCCCCTGTCTCCTGTGCCCTTGCTTCTGCCTCTAGTGTTGGAACCAGCTGTGCCCTTCTCGCGGGACTGAGCCAGCATCCGCAAGCCTGTTCCTTTTGCCCAAGTATCCTTTGTAATGCAGGTGGTCACTGGTGGGCCCAGGGACAAAACTTATTTATCTTGAAGGTGACAGAAGTGCACTGCGGCCCAGCGGACTGCGACTGGGGACCCCAGCACTGACCTCCCGCGGGCTTTTGGAAAAAGAGTTCCAAAAAGTAGCCCAGTTTATTCATAGAGGTAAGGATAAAGGTTTGGAGGTTTGCCACGTGGTGTTGTGTGTGGAGGCTCCGTGACAGAGCAGTTGAGACCTAGCCACTGAAGGATATTTCTGTGTCGAGGCTGAGTGCTGGGGACAGGAGACAGCAAAAATCACCTACTAACCCATCTGCTCTGAGAGGTCTTACCCAGGGGAGAGAGCATACAAGAATTGTTTCTGGGGTGCACATTAATGCCCACAGCTGTCATGCCCCCGGCTGCCAAGGGCATTGGGGCAGCCGGGCCTCGGGTGTGTCTCGGGCCCGCTGAGCCCCAGCACAGCACTGTGGCCCAGAGGGGACTCGTTTGTCTTTTGCCGCCACAGGGATAGAACTGACTCTGCAGATTCAGAATGATGTGGGCATCAAGGCCACCCTGAAGGAGTTCAAGGAGAAACTGGCAGGGGACGAGAAGCACCAACAGGCTGTCAGGGCTCTGAGGGAGGAGGTGGAGAGCTTCGCCTCTCTCTTCCCTCTGCCCGGCCTGCCTGCCTTCTAGAGGAGCCCACGGTCGCACCTGCCCCCACACCGGAGCACTGGGCCTGCCCAGGAGCCACCTGCTCAAGGACCCAGTGCCCTTCTGAGGAGAAAGAGCTGCCCCACACGGGACCTCACCGACTTCTTTGTGCCTCTTAGATTTCTTTTTGGACTTTCATCACATTATCTTCTTGATAAATCAAAATTTGTTTAAGGACCATTGTTAGTAATTCTGGGACAAGTTCTTAAGGAATTTAAATTTGAACCTCACTTTCCCACAGCTATAAATACAGTTATTCTGGAAAAATGAAATACTATCTAGCATTTAGCCTTAATTCATTGAGACAGTTGAGTAGGCCAGAGCTATTGGAAAGATTCCAGGAATTTTACTCACCCTTCTCTTAGTTACTGGGCTTCCTCCTGACTCGCTGCAACAAATAAGAAACTCGAGTTCATGGCTCCTAAAAGCTGCCCATTCTTAATGTGTTGTTACCTGGCAGGATGCCAAAGGAGAACTGAATTGTGATGGTTACAATTGAAGAGAGAAATCCTCCTGAAGTTTCTGCTGTGTGCTTTCAATAAGAATTGTAAGTTAGTCAAGTCCACGCCGGGTGCCACCAGAGTTTGTTGGCAGCTCAGTACACTGTGGAAATGGTCTCCATCACCTACCCCCCTAGGCAGGTGGGGGAGCCTGGGGCACCTAGTCCCGTCCTGGTGTGAGCACCAGCTCGGGCCCTTCCTGCTCTGCCTGAGACAACCACCTCCCTCATGTAGTCAGGAAACCAAATGTCACCTTCCCAGAGAAACTTTATTTTTCACAAAGCTGAAGTGCAAAACATGGATGACCATTTTTAATAAGCAGAATCAAGTTTTTAACCACAGAATGTCTACAAGAATTATAGCTTTAAAAAATACAACCAGTTTTTATATTTCAAAAATATCACAACTCAAATAAATTAATTTCTTAAAAAGTACACTTCTCATACTATTTGGCATTTACTCTGGTTAAACTCTGGTGCAGCCACACTTAGGAGCTGCTGTCACACACTTGTCTGGCATACTCTTGTCCTCAGCCACCGTGATGATGACCACAGCTCACGTGGTGGCCGGACCCACATTCACACACACAGACAGAGGAACATGCAGTAATAAAATAGCTTTCCAGAAAATAACAAATACGACTTCCTCACGACTATGCTTTTCACTAAAACCTTAAAGGTGGCATTTATCTCCACCCAACTGTGCAGCCAGCCAGCCAGTGTCAGGCAGTCAGTGGGTGAGGCACCCGGTGGTCCTGTCTGGCAGGCGTCCCTGTGGTGGTATGCTCCAGCACGGCTGGGACAGCTGCTGCAGTCTCCATGGGGTGTGGGTGACACACCAGTCCCATATCTCTCCATTCACTTTGGGACCATTATGCTGCCAAAACAGTCTTACATTCAGGGTTTGACTCTTCTCCAACTGAAGACAAAGGGACATCTCCAAGACCTCTTTGTAGCCTCCACTTTGGAGCTGAACAGTCATCCCAGGAAGCCGGAGCCTCATAGCAGCAGCTTAATTCACTGCAAAGTGCTTGTTCCATCCCCTCGCCACTCCTGCTTCCTCCTTCCCATGGCCAAAACCCAGGCTTACCAACCAAGGCCAGATTAGGTCATGCTCAAGGGAGAAAGGGCTCAGGAGAGCTTGGTGTGCTCAGACCTCATCATCTGAGACTGGTTTTGTTTCCAGCCAGAAGTAGAAATTTGATGCTTTTTCCTTATTTCAGTCTGTTGATACTCTATCTCTTTCAAAGATTCCAGTTTTATCACTTTCCATCACACTACTGGAGAAAAGCCAGAAAGCTGGCTGGTTTGCTTGAAAGCACGAACCAAGGCACTTCCTTCTGACTGAAGAGATGGGAGGTAAAATCAGATTGCTGGTTTGGGGGATCAGTGCCTCCGAAGGTTGTCCACCTGCCAGTGGATCCCCGCCAGCTAGGGAGTGTTACTACCTGTGCAAAGACGACAGGGCAGCAGCACAAGAAGCTGGCCTGCCATGCAACATGCAACAGGTCCGGGGAGGCGTGGGCGTGCGTCTGGCACTGGAAGAAGTGGTGGTCAGTGTGCATGTGAGATTTTCAAGACTGCGTGCACTTGGCCTCCAGAAACATGTCACTGAACTGCAGCAGCCCTGGCACTTGGGGTCGAATCTCTTGGCCTTCCTAGGATTTTGAAGTGGGATTTGTTGTTTGTTCGCGATTGAAGTCTACTCTACCTTGAATATAGTAACTGATCTGAAATGAAGTTAAAAGCTAGGGAAATCACAGGTGAGCCATCACGGCCCATCTCCACATTCTGGTGCAATGTGTATTAATTTCAGCCATCGCAGTAAATTACAGAAAAGTCACAATTTCTAAAATCAAAAGATTCCACTAAAGGAGCAAGGGCCCTAGGGAAGCTGTGAGGTGCGAGCAGCTCAGGCTGGAGTGTCCCTGGTGCCCCAAGTGCTATAAAAGGCTCCAGCTGGAAACGACTTCTCTAAATTAGAGCATCTGGAAGTCACTACTGTGTAAACGCTCGCCTGATCAGGTTTTCCTTAACCTGGACTGCTTTAAAAAGGGAGGGGCAGGTGATGGATTAGAAATAAGGGTGAAACAAACCTCAAAGGTCGGGTGCCTAGGCCTTCAAAGTGATGGGACTGAAGAAGCACTAAGGGGCTCTGATGTCCTGTTTTCTGGGAAGTGTTTTTAAATGTCTTATTAACACTTAATGACCTATTACTAGAGGAAAGCCTCAAGTGAAAATTCTTGAAGAGATTACTCCTACCATGAAGATTTATAGATGCGTCTGAGTCTTCAGTGGGTTCCACTTCTCCCAAGTGGGGGGCACTGGGGAGGGGCAGCTTCATGGCCTCACCTGCCTCTGCCCAGAGGGGCTCAGTCCTAGCTCCACTTGATCCCTTTGCAAAGAAACATACTTGGCATCAAGCAATCCTTTGAAAGTGCCACATTGAAGTGTTAGATTTTAACCAAAAATTTCAATCCTTGAGTTCAACCACTAGTCAGTCCATGAAGCCAGCTTTATTTCTTAACGAACAAACAACTCAAGTGAGATGCTCCCCGTTTGCTCTTTCTGTGGCTGGCCCCACAGGACAGTGCGTCCTGTTCACACCCCTCTGGTCTCTTGCCTTCAAGTCCTTGGAGGTTCTGAGCAAACACCCTCCAAAGGGGACTTCTACTTCAGCCCACGGCAGTACGTGGCTTTTGCTTCTAGAAGGCCAAGTATGACTGACCTTCTGCCTTTAACAGTTTTCCAGTTGAGAACAGCATTAACTGTAGAGTCCACATTGGAGTGAAACACAGGAAAGAAATAGCCATGGTGGTGCCAGTGGTCACTTTCCATTTTGTCATTTGGACCCCACAGACCTCTCTTCTCTTGGAGATAAATGTCATAAGGTCATGTCCCTGGAGGCCTAAATAGTCAGCAATTGGCCACCCAGTTAGAAAACCAAGCAGCATCCAGAACATGAGGGAGGGGAGGTGGTAACAGATAAGAGGAGCCCATGGAGAGAAACAGGCTTCCCATGTAGCCTTCCCCATGGGCAAACACACACTTCACATTTAAAAGCTGCCAAGACAGTCCTGGTGACTCCTCTGTGAATATATGCAATGTGCACAGGTATAAAGAAAATGGATGAGATGGAGGCAGCACCATCTGCCACAAGGAGCACAGCCTCAGAAGCAAACACACACCCTCTGACAGGAACAGGGACCCTGGGCAGAGCCAGTGGCCAGGAGCCAACAACCATATCTTGTGCAGAAGACCTGGGCAAAAAAGGGACTACTGGAGTCATGGGACACAAACCTTCCCTGGTCACCAGGGGTTTCTGCCTCCCCTCTGTGACCTCAACAGTGTGCCACAAAGCTGGAGGGTAGACCATGTCTCAACAGTAGGACCCCAGCTATAGGGAACGTGGCCCCACTAGACGTATACACACATGCTCAGGAGCAACCACTTGTGGCTGGTTCAGGTCTATTTTATCACAATTTTCTGGGAACAAATTAAAAAGCAGTAATACCAAGAGTTCTCCCTAATTAGGGGAAAAAACAGCTTGAAAAGAAAAAAGGTACAAAATTTTCAAGGTTGCAAGAAACCATCTACGTACCAGTGGCATTTGTGTATAAAGCCTCAGGGAGGTCTTGGGTGAACCAGGGAGTGGCTCATTCCACAACTTGGGAGACCCGCATGAGGGGAGAGTGAGCTGTGGTGGTGTGTGTGTACCTGGGGGACATGCTGGGGTGGGAGTGAGCTGCCGTGAGATGTGCATACTCCGGCCTCCGGGGCCTCCCAGAGGCAAATCAACAAAGACAGCCACACAAGGAGGCTTTCTTCCTTCGTGGAGACAATCCTGCTATGAGTTATCACCAGCTGGGCTGTCCACCCAAGACCAGCCAGCTGCACAGAACTCTGCTGTCACCTTGCCCACGAGACCCTGTGAGAGGTAGTGAAGTGGTTGCAAAGGTTTGCTATGGGTGAGAGGACTGGGGGGTGACCTCTGCCGAGTTCCAGCATATCTGCAGACCTTGCCCAAAGGAACAGTGCTCACTCACTCTGGCCAGAAAAGCTGGTGGACCGGGCCCGAGAGCCTGCTGGCTCTTCATTGCTTGCACAGTGGTGATGGCCTCATGACACCTTGGCCCTGCCTGTCTCCTGGGCTTTCCTCCTCACAACCAGGGACTAGTGACTGTTTAGTCACCTCTGCTGACCATGGGAGTGATTTCCAAGGCCCACCTACAAGCAGAAGTGAGGATGGGGCCAGGGTGTCTTGGGGTTCAAAAGGCTGTGTGTTTTCCATCACCCAGCTGGGGCCAAGCTTTCTCCCCTCCACCTCACTCATGCAGGGGCCTCCCCTGGGATGATGGGCTCTAGGAGGCCAAGTAAAAGGTCCCAGCTGGGGTCTGAACGAGGCAATGGATGGTCCGCCATCCTGTTTTCCACCAAATCATTCCAGTTAATGGACTGCTTCCCTTGATTTTGCTGCTCCAGTGTTCAGCAGAACTGAATGAGGCCAGCATGCTCCTCCCATCAGGCCTTGCCTTCCTGCCCCTCATCCCACCCCCTCAAACCTTTCTTCTGCCCTGGCTACCAGTCCTCAGCAGGGGCCACTCCTCACCAAGGAGCTGAGAGAGCTGTTACTGTCCTTCCAGAAGCCTTCAGAGAGAGCCAGGCTCCCTTGTCTGCCCAAGTCCAACTCACAGATTGCCTGGAGCCAAGGCTCCCACCTTAGTTTCCTTCCCACTGATTACACCAGAAGTCTCAACAGGTCAGAGGACTGCTTCGTCATGCCAATCCCTCCCCTCCCCATACCCTGAGTCACAGGTCTTGGTCACAGTGGCTGGGACTGACCTCAGATTTTGTACAAAAAGCTGGGGACATAGTCAAACCTGAGCGTGGGATGGCTGGTCCCATGAGACTCCTGCATATAGTGCAGCTTCAGCAGCTCAGCCAGGTACTGGACCACCTTGACATCTTCATTCACCAAGCCCAGGTTCAACCTCAAGAAGCTTGCCTGGCGGCTGGCAACCAATTCCTCTGTCTCCTTGTCGTGGGCAGGCAGGTGCAGGTGGTGGCAGAAGGTATAGAGGAAGGCCTTGGAGCAGAGCTGGGTGAGCATGCTCTGGACATGCAGGTAGTAGGTGCTGCCCCGCTTGATCTGAGTGCGGTGGTCTGCCAGCCGGGGCACGAGGGTGCCTCTGTAGAGCGGGCAGCGCAGGGTTTTGTTGTCTAGGTCCAGGATGCTTGTGTAGCGGCTGTAGCGGCTCAGAGAGTGGAGGGTGCCAGCACTAGCAGGGGACGCCACTCTGAAACACACAGGCCAAGGTCAAGAGGAAGAGCAAGGACCAGGAAGATGGAGGCAGAATCTTGGGGGTGGGGCTTCCTGTCTCTGGGCCTGCTCCCACCTGGCCAACATTCACTGGCTCTTTCTGGAAGGATCTGATCATCACGATCTTTGAAGGCCTCCTCACTACCCTCATGACTAAGTTTAAGTGCCTTGGTGTGGCCCAAAAGGCCCTGCACAACTGCTGGCCTCGGAGGCCTCTGCTGTTACCTTCCGGATGACTGTCCCTTTCAGCCATGCCAAGCTTTTGGTGGAGCCTCAAAATCACAGGTCTATTTGTTCTGCCTGGAATAACCTTCCCTCCCTTTTGTACCTGGCTTATGCCAATTTAAACCTTATCCGGCCTTCCCTGATCCTTTCCTCTGCTTTCTTGCTATGTGACCTTGGTCAAGTCTCTTACTCTCTCTGAGCCTCATCTATAAATCAGAGATAACATTTCCTACCTCATGGGGTTGTTGCAGAGACAAATGAGTTGTGCTGAGGATAGTGCCTGGCCCTCAGTATCATCAGCCTGGTAGTGACCAGTGTGGTGACTACTGTTTGTCTTTTCATCTTGCCCACTGGACAAGAGCTTCTGCAGATCCAGGACTGTACCTGATTTGGTACTGTGCCCAGCACATCAGAGGCAGGTGGGCAGGTTTGTTCAGGAAGGGAAGGAGGTCAGAGTGGTCAGCCTGAGTAAGCAGCTCCTTAAAACCCTCCTCAGGTGCCAGTTCTCCCTGAGGAGCTGGGATTACCTGCAGTCCTGCAAATGGCTGGCTGAGCAAGACTGACACAGCTCTGGAAGTTAGGGCTGTGTCAGACCAAAGGTGACACATAAAAAGGACTCACAGTCACTTGGGACCAAGGTAATCCCATAATTTTTTTTCCTGGGGGTTACCTTCTTGTATAGTGAACATTCATTCACTGAGCATTGACTGTATTCCAGCCAGTGACCTGGGGGCTGAGCAGGCAATGAAGACCGAGCCTGGTCTGGCTGGGAAGATGCACACACAAGTACACGAGTGAGGGGAGACATGGGCTCAGTCTCCACACGAGAGGCCTGTGGCCAGGAAGGTCCTAGAGGAGTGGCCTTGGAGCTGGGCCATGAAAGAGAGGTGGGCTCTGGGAACTGTGGAAGGCATTCTAGAACACGGCAAGAGCAAGGTCACAGAGATGGGAAAGCAGAGAGCCACATGGGCCACTTGTTCTGAGAACCAGAAGGAGAGCAGTGGGCTGCAGCCCGCATCCCACGGGTGATGGAAACGCAGCCTGCAGGTGTCACACTGGCTTCTCAGGGAGGCAGGCCTTTTCCCGCATGCCCCCAGGGTGCTCAGTCTGCTCCTGAGGCACCTTTACCTCCCCTAAGGGGGCCAGGCCATGAGCCAAACACCACCTCGAGCTTGGCATGTCCAGCCCACCGAGGCTCTGCGGCAGCGGCATAAGCAGGCCTCACCTCAACTTCCTGCCCCTCCATTTCAGCCACTCATCCCCCTGGCCTCAGGCCCAGCTTCTCCCAAGGCAGCTCTGAGGCCCCCAGCCACACACACACTCCTTTTAGAAGATGCTGCTCCTTCTAACTCTCACTCCATTTCTGTTTCCCTCAAAGTTCCTCATCAGGATGCCAGATTACATGGGAAGAGGTAAGCCCCAGGCCTCTGTCCCTTGGCTGCTTTGCATGGGCGCCTGGGAGCCTGAGACTTCACCTCCCACACCTGTCTAGATTCATGAGGGCTCATCCCAAAGCCAGGGAGGCAACCTCTGTAGAGATGCGGACACTGAGGCCTAGAGAGGAGCTGTGCCTTGTCCAGGATCACCCAGCTAGAAAGTGGCTGAGCCAGGACTCAAACCACGGCCTCCGACCCACACTAGCACTGTTTTCCACCAGAACTGAGCTGTTTTTCAAACAGTCCAGGGCTTGTTACTGCTGTTTAATAGGCAATACAATTATCTCTGGTTTTGATTTAAAACAACAGAAGACCAAGTTGATTTCAATACCCACAAATGGCTGATTTGATTGAGAAGCATTTCCAGGCAGAGGGCCTACTTTAGTAGGGGGGAAAAAATCCAGGACCAATGACACTGGCTGTTCTGGGGTGAGAGTCCTTAAAAATAGTTCATGATCTGAACTGGTTTTAGCTGAAGTCAAAGCACCCAAGGGGGAAGAGACACTCGTGGGTCAGCTCTGATTCCAGAGTAGCCCAGCACAGGGGACCAAGCCCCTCTACAGCTGAGCACCCCCATAGACGGGAAGTTCATGACCACAGAAAGGCACCCCTTCTACTCGTACTGTTCAATGCTGATCCTCAGATGGGCCTATCTGCCTCCCCATCTATCCACAACTCTGAACACTTCCAAGGGCCAGGCTCTGCACTAGGGCTTTACATACATCCTAGGGTCAACCCTTCCTACAGCTCTGCATGGTGGGTACTGTAAGTCCCATCCACAGACGTGTTCAACAGGCTTTGTTGAATGAATGAATGAATGAATGACAGGAGATGACTGGTCCAAATCCACACAGCTAGTAATGGCAGCACCAGGACCTGAACTCAGAACACCTACTGCCTCCCTCTCTAACAGCCAAGGACCACAACTCCACGGATTTTCATCTTATACTGCTCACCTCCCAGGACTTCTTTGGGTGAGATGTGGCAAATCCAGTCCCCACTGCATTTCTGGCCCCTCAGCTGACCCTCCAAAGACACATCCCTTAGGGAACAAGGCCTCCAACCCCTGCCTCCCATACCTCATGCCTGAGCAGGACCTTCTGGAGGCAGATGCTCCCAATTCCCAACATCTGTGCATGCTCAGGAGGTTTGAGAAGGAAAGCTTAACGGGAGAGTTAATCACTCCCATTTGGGAGTCTTTGGAAAGATCTCAGCTGTCATTTCCGATGGGCCTCTTGATTTTATGGAGGGATGCTTCAAGGCTCTGAAGTCTGGCCGTGAGGGCCACACTCAGCTCCTGCTGCCCCACCTTCCCTGCAGTCTGTCTGTGCCCCTGCTAGGCTATCAGAAGAGCGCTCACACTGACCAGGCACAGATACGATGCAATGTGCCCTCGGACATCTGCTATCACGAGGTGGGTCTTGCCAGCTCCATCTGCAGATAGAAGCAGCCTCAGAGAGGTCAAGCTGACAAAATGGTGACAGAGCTGGATCTGGAGTGAGGGCTGACCATGAAGGTCACGCTCACCTTGCCATGGGATGCACCACGGCTGACTCACCTTATAATTCTGACACTAGGTACAGCAGCTGGCACTTAACAGCCCTCCATAAATACTTGGCAAATGATCTTTCAGTGACCCAACCCTCTTATTTTCTCAGGAGGCAACAAAGCCTCAAGTGGAGGAGTGACTTGCCCACTGTGGATGAACAGTGGTAGGGCCGGCCCTGGACTCAGACCACCTCCTATTCTACTCTAGGGTGCCAAATACACCGCCCACCTGCCAGCTACCCTCTCCTGTACCCACAGAGACATCGTTAATTGATGACAGCAGGCTTTCCAGTGCAGCCCAACCTAGGCCTCAGAATCCTCCTCAACATAGCACTCCAGTCAGGTACCCAGTAGAGTCAAGCTAGCATAAGAGATGAATCTCTTTTGCCATTCTGGCACATTCTAAGGAGGAAAGTTCAGGGAAGGCCTCTGGAAAGGGCAAGGCTGTCCAGAGCTTGGTCCTGGATAAGCCAGCTGATGTCAGTAGACTGATGTGTGTTTTAGATTCTCCACTTTGAGGTAAAAAAAAGTCAAAGACCAGCATTGGGGTGAAAGGACTGAGTTGGACACAGAAGATATGTTTGTAAGGCATACCAACCCATCATTCCACCACAATAGCAAATCCCAGTCCCTGAAAAGCCCTCCCCTTCCTAGGACAGACTGGTTAAACCAGAGAGCACAGAGATGGCACCAGCAGAGGGAGAGGATCTTGGGAGAAGGACGGAGCCTGCAAAGGTCCTTGGGGCAGTCACCTAACCCACTGAGCCTCAGACCCTGCATCTGTAAGCAAGGACTGATGGCTTCCTATGATGCCCAAGGAATGGGCTTGTCCAGCTGTCTCAGGCACATCGCACCAAGTCCCCATGTCATCACTCTTCCACTACACTGGCAACCCACTCTCCCGGTCACTCAAGCCAAAGACTCCAGACCTTCTCCAGGCACCTTCTCCCTCACTTCCTGAAAGTCACTAGATTGCTCCCTTTGTTTTCTTAGAACACAAGCAGCACCCACTGTTATGGCAAGGCTCTGGTCACTTGTCTGTCCCCTCTCCTGGACTAGGAATTCTTCCACAGCAGTGGCCTTGCTCAGGTACTCCAACTGGTACCCCAGCACCCGCCGGTGTGGCCTGGATTAGATTCTCAACAAGCGAGACTCGGGATGGGGGCCTCGTTGATATCAGTGACCCATGTAACTGGAAAGCTGGAAAATTGGAACAAATGGTGGCTGACTACAGTGTGGAAGAAATTCTTTTTGTCTTTCTTTTGTGGCGTGGGAAGCAGACTGTCAGCAGGGACTCCGGTGATGACCTAGCTCAGCACCTGTGATTCAGAGAGGAGCGAAGTGGGGTTCAAAGAATGAGGAAGCAGAACACAGTGCATATGCTGAGGGAGAGTCCTTTGCGCCACACAACTTCTCAAGGAGTATTTGGAAAAACAGAATCTCCTAAAGCTTAAGTTGGGTAACATGAGGAAATGAAATAGAAAGCATTTAAAGAGAGGAAGAAGGAACTGGCTCTTGCATTTCCTTATTAGGACAGCCTTCTAGGGCAACCAGGACAGTGGAGTGAAAGCCACGGGAGCCCTCTGATGTCCCTCTCACCAGTGATGGCTGCCTGCTCCTATTACTACCACAGCCCTTTCTCAGAAGCAGCTCTCTTCTTAGTTACACCATCGTGTGTTCTGGGAATCAGCAAGGACCTGAGATCTAGAAGTTCAGTCCTTCTCAAACCTTGCTATACACCAGATAAATTCCATGTCTTACCCCACACCAACTGAATCAGAATTTCTGGGGGTGGGGCCCAGGAACCCATGATTTAAAATATCCTCCCAGGGCCAGCCCCATGGCCAAGTGGTTAAGTTCACGGGCTCCGCTGTGGCGGCCCAGGGTTTTGCCAGTTCGGATTCTGGGTGTGTACCTGGCACTGCTCGTCAGGCCACGTTGAGGCAGCGTCCCACCTGCCACAACTAGAAGGACCTGCAACTAGGATATGCAACAAGGTACCAGGGGGATTTGGGGAGATAAAGCAGAAGAAAAAAAAATTGGCAACAGTTGTTAGCTCAGGTGCCAATCTATAGGGAAAAATAATAATAATAAAAAATTCTCCCCAATAATTCTGAGCCAGCAGGGTGCAGACCAAGTTTGGCAACTACTTAAGAACTGCGGTCCCCTCATGTGACGGGCAGGGGGACAGGAGGCCAGGCAAGGGGAATGATTTGCCAAAAGAAACAGTGAATCGCTGCTGGGCTCAGCCTGGAGGCCAGGCCTCCTGATTTGGGGTCCACCACACCAATTTCTTAACCTCACCCAGAGGGATGGACATCTGAAGCCTCATCTCTAATTGGACAGGGCCCTTCCCCACCACCTGTAACCAATTACCTCTGCAGACCAATAAGCTTCCACTTCTGAAAATCCATAATGTGCAAAGGGGAGGAGACCCAATGCTTCACAGGTTTGACAGAGCGGCTGTAGTTGGGAACAAAGATGGACAATGCTGTCACAAGCTTCCTGACTATGGCCTCGTCCTCCCCCAGGACCACGAGCGTCCTCCCGCTGAGCAGGGAGTAGATGGCTGGGTGGGCAAAGGGGTACTGGCGGATGAATTTTAAGGCGTTCTGGCCAGCCCTCTTTTGATGCCTCTCTGAAGAGGGGCCAGCAGGATGAGCAGAGGAGGGAGTCCTGTCCGAGCTGGTGGAGGCTACACTGCTCACATAGCTGGTGGTGTCTGAGTAGTTGTCCAGGCTGCTCTTACTAACATCCCGGCTAGCCAGCAGGTGGCTTGGGTCAAGTTCATAAGCAGGGAAGCCTTCAGAAGTGTTGTCTTGGGAAGGGTGGGCGTTTTCCACTGCCAAGTCCACAGGGAACCCCTGGTCCTTCTGCCTGTAGCGCTGTGGGGGGCTGCTCACTACTCCATCCTCGTCAGAGAGTGTGTGGACTGGAGTGGAGGGTGGCAGTCCCAGACTGTCACTCTCCTTCCCAATGCAGCAGGAGGAGTCTGTTTGTGACGGAGTGTTTTCCAAGCTGCCCTCCTCTGCCTCATCCAGCACTGGCGGGCTGATGCTTGCCTGGAAGTGGATGGCTCCCTCACTGTCACCTGCGTATGATTCTTCTTCATTAATGGCACTTGGGTAGCTGGCCTTAAAGTCGTCAGGGATGAGGGCCTCAGAAGGGCAGGTGCTGAGGACTTCAATACTGTCCTCACTGATGGTCCTGTAGCTGACAGCTTTGCTCCGGACCACTTGTGGGCTTAATGGCACCGTGAGGCTGGCCTGGCTGTCAGACTTAGACAGCACAGAGGTGGACTTCTCCGTGCCTAAAACCTCAATGCTTTCACCACTGCTGATACTCCCTTTCATATCCAAATCCAGATAGTCCAAGTTTTCCTGGGCGTCAAAACTGCTCAATTCCGTCACTTCCACTTCCTTGTACTCCTGATCTCCCAGTTCCTGCTCCATCTTGATCAGCACAGACTCCACGCTAGACTTGTAAGAGCCAATGCTAATTAACACTTGAGGGATCGGACATTCTTCTAGAGACCTAGAAAGTGGCCTGTCTTGACAGGGCTGAGGGGGTGCACTCTTTTGTTTGTCTACCACCCTGTCACTGACCTCCACCAAGTCTTCAAAAAGGAAGTTTGTTACGTGCTGTTGCTTTAGTAGTGCTCTGTCAATCTGGCTGGTCAGGAGGTAGCACAGGTCTCCTCTGAACATGTGCTCAATGTGACTGAGCTGAGCCAGGGTCTGAGTGAAATATTCAGTATCACAGAGCTCTTCCAAGGTCTTCAACTTCTTGTCAAAACACTTGGTGGACTTTGCTTTGATGAGTTTGGGGGTGTAGCTGGGTCTGCAGGTAAAAAGGTCTGTGTCAGCAGACTCATCAGGGTTAGAGGTAGTGGCTGCCTGGTCCGGCTGATCCTGGATGCGCTCCATCTCCCCAGAACACAGATCAGACCCCTTCAACTTCCGATGAGGGTATGAGCGGATCTGCTTCAGCAGGTCTTGATGTTCAATGATGGACTTCTCTACACTGGCCAGTTCATTGGCTTTCTCAATTGCCTGAGATGAGTAAAAGCCTTTGTCATTAGCTTTCTTCTGGATCTCTGTTTCGGTGTGCAGCACTGTCCTGGTGTAATCCAAGTCTTTCAGTTTTTTTTCAAGTTCCCCAGCAAATGCCTTCCTGTTGCCTGTCTTCAAGCACTCAGAAGCTTTAGAAAATTCAGTTGAAAGCTCCTGGAACTGCTGCATGATTTTGTGCTGATCTGCCGAGATATAAGCCATGCAAAAGGGCCTCACAAAGCCACGGGCCTCCAGGTCATACAGGGTAAGGTGGTGCACATATGCAAAGGCTCCTTCCTTGGAGTCTCCCAGCACCACCTTGGAGTCCTCCACGAAGTTCAGTTTGGGGTAAGCAGAACCAGGGGGATGGCCCACGAAAGAGGCCTGGTAATCCACAGACATGATCCGCAAAGAGAAGTAATTGAGATCAAAAGTACCAAAAACTTTGGTGTCATTGGGGATGGTCAGCAAGGGTTGGGGTCCCACCTGCTCAGAGAACTCAGAAATAAGGATGAAGTCTCGAGAGAACTTGGCCCCGGACAGTTTGGACCATGGGTTAGTTCCCTGGCTGGCGAAGGGAAAAAGAGGCACCGAGTACTCCTCGGGTAGAGCCGGCTCATTGTAAGGTTCCTCCTCGTACTCGTCTTCTTTAGTGAAGGCCACCACGTCAGGGGCGCTGATCATATTTCCAGATATATGGAGAGAACATTGAGAGGAAGTGGGAGAGGATGCGGGGGTAATCAACGCGGGGAAGCCAGGCCTGTGGAGGAGGAAGCAAAGTCGCTGCGGTCTTCGTCTACCCTCAGGGGTACTAGGCAGCCCCCTCAGAAGTGTAGCTCCTCCAGTGCCCTCGGAGGCCTCATGAACTCCGCAGGTCCAGAAGTCCGGGGAAGCCAGTTGACTTCCTCCTCCTCCGGGTATCGCGGCCGGCGCAGGGCACCTGCAGCGAGGTCACCAGCACTTCCCCGAACCCACCGCGACAGAAAAAGCCCCAGCACTGAACGAGCGCCTAAGGAGGGGCTACGGGCCGCCGCAGGGACCAGCCAAGCGTTGCGGTCCCCACGGCCCGAGCGCAGAAACCGTCGCAACTCCTTGGACGCCACAACCCGAAGCCAGCTACCGCGGCGACGCCATCTTGGTATCACATGACTCTCAGTGTCCACGTCGCGTGACCCGGAAGCGTCCGCGCAGAGTTCCCGGCAGGAGAGAAAAACATCGTGAGCAAGAGAAGCTTGGGCGGGACTATCGAGAGGCCTCTCCCAAGGACGAATCGACTAGCCAACCACTGACCAGAAGGAAAGGAAGTGAGGCGGAGAATCGGAAACGTGCTGGGACGAGTGGCCCCGTAACGCGGGGCAGTCTGGGAGTTGTAGTTCGCCGTCCTGTGGGACTCGCGCCGGGCGGAAGTGGCCCGAGAAGGCGGGCGGAAGCGGCTGCCGAGGTACAGGATTCGGCGCGAGGCGGTAGTGGTGAGGAGAAGGCGTGGTCGCCGCTGCTCTGAAGCCCGGTGGGCTGGTGGGAGGTGCCCGGGCCGCGGGCGGCGGCGGTGGCGGCTCCCCGACGCTCTAGTTCCCTTAGGGTGGGCACCGGGCGGACCTCACCTCCGGCTCCCCCAGCATGCGCGGGCGCCCGGGGAGCGGCCGTGGCCGCGGGACCTAGGGATGCTCTTCCCGGCTGGCCGCTGCGCGCTCCGGTGGCTGCAGCGGCCCCGAGTCCGGCCCTTGTCCCGCGCCGCCATGGAGGTGGCGTTCCGAGGCGTGCGGAAGATCCTCTGTGTGGCCGAGAAGAACGACGCGGCCAAGGGGATCGCCGACCTGCTGTCCGACGGCCGCGCGAGGCGGGTAAGCAGGCGCGTTGCCACCCGGCCGTGTGCGGGGGGCCCGCGCCTGGGTGTCGGCGCGCCCGGCCGGGCGGGGACGCGGCGGCGTGTGCGCAGGTGCGGTTCCGCGGCCGCCGTCCGACGCCCGCCGCGGGCTCCGGGCTCGGGGGCTGCCGGCTGCTCCCCCGGCCGCGGCTCTCCTACTGTCTGGCGCGGGGCGGGGACCGCGGGACGTGCTCGCACGTGTTTTTTGCTTGAATGTTGGCGCTGAGGCGGGGCCGCTTTGCCCGCTGGCGGAAGCAGCCCGTGCGAAGAACGGCCCGACGGCGGGAAACGGCAGCCGGTTCGCGTGAGCAGCTGGGAGGTGGCCCGGAGGGGAGGCCGCTGGAGGCGCGTCACGAGGGGCCCGAGCGCCCTGTGCTTTATGTGCAAGTGTCAAAGTGCACGTCCACTTAGCATGTTAGTCGTTTTGAGATGCACAATTCAGTACGTTCAGTACGTTCGCAGTGCTGTGTAACCGTCACGTCTGCCTAGTGTCAGGTTTTTATTACACCAGCAGGAAACCACGTAGCCTTCAAGCAGTCAGTCCTCGTTCCCCGCTCCTCCCGGCCCCTGGCAACCCTAGTCTGCTTTCTGTGCCCAAGGATCTGCCTGTTCTGGACAGTTCATGTAAGGAGAACCATGTAGGGGCCGGCCCGTGGCGCAGCGGGTACCTTTGACCGCTCACTTCGGCGGCCCGGGTTCGCAGGTTCGGATCCCAGGCGCGAACCAACATCGCTCGTCAGCCACACTGTGGGGCGTCCGGCGTACAAAATAGAGGGAGACTGGCACAGACGCTAGCTCAGGGCCAATCTTCCTCACCAAAAAAGCCCAAAAGAATCATATAACACGTGGCCTTTTGTCAGGTTTCCTTCACTTAGCATGATATATTTGAAATCCATCCATGTTGTAGCTATTAGTATTTTTTTCCTGTTTGTGGCTGAATAATATTCCATTCCAGATCCCATTTTGTTTATCTGTTCGTCAGTTGGTGGACATTTGGGTTGGTTGCACCTTTTGGCTATTGTGAATAGAGCTGCTATTAACATTCATGAACAGGTTTTTGTTTGAATACCTGTTTTCAGTTCTTTGGGGTAAATTCCTAGGAGTAGAATTACTGGGTCGTAAGTTAACTCTGTGTTTAGCTTTGTGAGGAACTGCCAAACTGTTTTCCATAGTGGCAATGTTACAGTTTCTCCACGTCCTCCCCAACACTTGTTCTTTTTCACTTTTTTGATTATCACCATTCTAGTGGGTGTGAAATATCTCATTGTAGGTTTGATTTGCATTTTCCTGAATGACCAGTGACACTGAGTATCTTCATGTGCTGGTTGGCCGTTGTGTATCTTCTTTGGAGAGATGTCTTTCCATGTCTTTTGCCCATTTTTGGATTGGGTTGTTTGTCTTTTTTGTTGTTGAGTTGTAAGAGTTCTGTATATATTCATGATACTACATCCTTGTTAGATACATGATTTGCAGATATTTTCTCCCATACTATCAGTTGTGTTTTCACTTTCTTGATAGTGACCTTTGATGCACAAAAGTTTTTAATATTGATGGAGGCTCATTTATCTATTTTTTTCTTTTTTTGTTGATTATGCTTTTAGTATTAAATCTAAGAAACCATTGCCAAATCCAAGGTCATGAAGATTTGCCCCAAGTTGTCTTCGAGCGTTAGCTCTTATATTTAGGTCATCGATCCATTGTGAGTTGCTTTTTCTATGTGGTGTAAAGTAAGAATCTAGCTTCATTCTCTTGCATGTGAATTTCCAGTTTTTCTTAGCACCATTTGATGGTCTTTGCGCCCTTGTCAAAAATCAATTGACTGTAGATGTTTGGGTTTATTTCAGGACTCTCAGTTCTATTCCATTGTTCTGTCCTTTTGCTAGTACGACATTGTTTTCATTTACTGTAGCTTGGTAGTAAGTGTTGAAATTGGGCTGTGTGAGTCCTCCAACTTTGGTCTTCTCTTTCAAGATTGTTTTGGTAGGGCCAGCCCCGTGGCGCAGTGGTTAAGTTCGCACATTCTGCTTCAGCAGCCTGGGGTTCGCTGGTTGGGATCCTGGGTATGGACAAGGCATCACTTGGCAAGCCATGCTGTGGTAGCCGTCCCACATATAACGTAGAGGAAGATGGGCATGGATGTTAGCTCAGGGCCAGTCTTCCTCAGGAAAAAGAGGAGGATTGGCAGCCGATGTTAGCTCAGGGCTAATCTTCCTCAAAAAAAAAAGAAAAGATTGTTTTGGCTGTTTGGGGCCCTTTGCAATTCCATGTGAATTTTAGGATCGCCTTTTCCATTTCTTCAAAAAAGACTATTAGAATTTTAATAAGGATTGCATTGAATCTGTAGATCACTTTGGGGAGAATTGCCGTTTTTTATTTTCTTCTTCTCCCCAAAGACCCCCAGTACATAGTTGTATGTTCTAGCTGTGGGTCCTTCTGGGTCTGCTATGTGGGATGCTGCCGCAACATGGCTAGATGAGCGGTGCCATGTCCACGCGCAGTATCCAAACCAGCGAAACCCTGGGCCGCTGAAGTAGAGAGCGCAAACTTAACCACTCAGCCAGAGGGATGGCCCCAGTATCGCCTTCTTAATAGTAAGTCTCCCAGTCTATGCACACGGATTGTCTTCCCATTTATTTAGGTCTTCAGTTTCTTTCAGCAATATGTTGTCGTTTTCTTCATGCTTTTGGATGCTGTTCTAAGTAGAATTGTTTTTTTAACTTCCTTTTCAGATTGTTCATTGCTACTGGTTTTTGTGTGTAGATCTTGTACCGTGCAACTTTGCTGGATTTATTAGCACTAATAGGTTTGTGTGTGTGTATGGCTTCTTTAGGATTTTTGTCTTTAAGATCATGTTGTCTGTGAATAGAGATAATTCTTCTTCCTTTCCAATTTGGATGTTTTTTATTTGTTCTTCTTGCCTAATAGCTCTGGTTAGAACTTCTAGTAATCTTGTATAGCAGTGGCAAAAATGAACATCCTTCTCTTGTTCCTGATGTTAGGAAAAAGCTTTCAATCTTTCACCATTGAGTGTGATGTTGGTCATGGGTTTTTTGTAAATGCCTTTTGTCATGAAGGGTGTCGAATTTTTTTTTTTTTTGTATTGAGTTCATATAGTTTATATCATTGTGAGATTTCAGTTGTACGTTGTTTCTTGTCTGTTACCACGTAAGTGCTCCCCTTCACCCCCTGTGCCCACCACCCACTCCCTTCCCCTGGTAACCACTGAACTGTTTTCTTCGTCCATTAGTGTATTCATATTCCACATAGGAGTGAAATCATATGGTGTTTGTCTTTCTCAGTCTGGCTTTTTTCACTTAGCATAATTCCCTCCAGGTCCCTCCATGTCGTTGCAAATAGGATAATTTTATCTTTTTTATGACTGAGTAGTATTCCATTGTGTGTGTGTGTGTGTGTGTGTATATATATATGTGTATATATGACTTTTTCTTTATCCAATCATCAGTTGATGGGCACTTGGATTGTTTCCATGTCTTGGCTATTGTGAATAGTGCTGCAGTGAACATAGGGGTGCATATGCTACTTTGGATTGTTGATTTCAAGTTGTCTGGGTAGATACCCAGTAGTGGGGTGGCTGGGTTGTATGGTAGTTCTATTTTTAGTTTTTTGAGGAATCTCCATACTGTTTTCCATAGTGACTGCGCCAGTTTGCATTCCCACCAGCAGTGTATGTGGGTTCCCTTTTCTCCACACCCTCTCCAACATTTGTTCTTTTTAGTCTTAGTGATTATAGCAATTTTAACAGGCATAAGGTGGTGTCTTACTGTAGTTTTGATTTGCGTTTCCCTGATGATTAGTGATGTTGAACATTTTTTCATGTGCCTATTGGCCATCTGTCTATCTTCTTTGGAAAAATGTTCATATCTTCTGCCCATTTTTTGATTGGGCTGTTTGTTTTTTTGTGGTTCACTTGTGTGAGTTCCTTATATTTTATGTAGATTAAGCCCTTGTCAGATATATGATTTGCAAGTATTTTCTCCCAGTTGGTGGGTTGTTCTTTGTTTTGATCCTAGTTTCTTTTGCCTTACCGAAGCTATTTAGTCTGATGAAGTCCCACTTGTTTATTTTTTCTTTTGTTTCTCTTGTCTGAGAAGACATGGTATTCAAAAAGATCCTTTTAAAATCATCAAAGAGTGTACTACCTGTATTGTCTTCCAGGAGTTTTATGGTTTCAGGACTTACCTTCAAGTCTTTGATCCATTTTGAGTTTATTTTTGTGTATGGCGTGAGATAATGGTCTACTTTCGTTCTTTTGCACG